AAAAACACGCATATTCCCTATTCCGTACAAAAAAAATCAACTCAAGGTCAAATCAACATAAGCTAACAACATTAAAACATTACAATCGTCCATGATGAAACGTAATCTTAAACTTAATTAATTAAAAAAAACATGATAATAGAAAATACAAATCGCAAATAGGAACGCAACGATACCTATAATTAAACGCGTCATACACGTACCTATAAAAAAAACCTTCTGCATCGTCATAAACCAAGTTCTCTTTTAATATTTTTTCAATTGTTCCATGGAGGGTATACAGAAAAGTTAATATTTTTATCATTTGAGAATATGCTACTATACTCTCAGGTATTTCTCAAACAATTCACTTATTAAATTGCATTATTAATCATAATTGACCATTATTTCTATAATAATATACGCTTTATGATTAAAACTTGCAAAATTTACACGACAATAGCCATGACTATCACTTAATTGAGAGATACTTTGTACACCAAGTGCCATCAAATTATTTACATTTAAACCCCCCTCCATGGAATATTTAATCACGATATCCTCTAAAAACTTACTAATCGCGCTTTAAACGTAATATTTGTGACTACGTTTCTTTTAAGGCACACGACAGATCAAAAGAGAGGGTCACATCTGTGGACAATTTTAAATATACGACACATTATATCGAATATTTTCTTCATAATATTAAATCGTACTTACATATAAAAGATAAATTCCGGCGCAGATGTGAACCCAGCTTTAAATTTTACAACCGAACAGTATTGCGTAGATCAACATGTTTGTACGAATAGGTTCGAAAGCTGAGGCAAGACTGGAGTAAGAAGTTAACTTAACTAAAACCGGTACAATAAAGGGCAAGCTCAGGATATAATTTGGCTTAGACCTGGCTGTTCTCATATATCTTTTATAATACTCGATGAATGTAATACGAGTATACAATGTGCGTGGCACATTCAATAAACATACGCCAGTTCGATTTAATTTATATAGTTAAGTAACATATAAATATTTCTAAAACTGACACATTATCGCGAAGAACTTGTTATTCATTCATAACTATTTGCACGTCACTAATTAAAAAAAAAATGTCACTAAAACAATGAGAACAGCCAAACAAACCAAAGCAATAACAAACGACAACAGTGTAGATAACTCGAGGTTAGTGTAAGATTGCACAGTATAGAACTACGAACACAATAGGTAGTATTACGGAACGCGACAACATTAGGCCTCTCTCACAACCGTTGCACTATCGACTAAATGGCGGCGTGTTGGCTCTTGAATGTGCACTAAACTCAACTCAATAACTTTAGAGTTTGATTTGTAATAAATTTTTTGAATATTTAACTCAATTTTCTGAGTCAGTTGTTACATATGTCGCAGAAAAATTGTAAAAACCGTCAAATTATAATTTTACGGTTTTTACAATTTACCTGCGATATATATACAATAGTTTTTATATGTATTTATTTGCAAAAAATAAAATTATATTACATATTTAAAAAAAATGGCTATCCTTTATAGCCAACGTTCGAGTCATTTCGATTATTAATATATAAGATGAAATTTAAGAAATTTTTAGAACTTTAATACAATTATTTTTAAACACAAAAATTTATTTGATTAATACATTTTAAGGGTTTCAGAGAACATCCACGACCCAACACACACCGTTGTCAACGTTTAACATTTATATTTACTATATAACCCAACTCAGATTGCTTCACTGAACCTCACTAACTATAGCGCTCTCCTTTTCTTACACTTGACATAAGAAAAGGCAGGCAATATTTTAGTTCTGATCAGGCAACGCAATCCAAATTTGGCCAGTGGGTAATGTTGCGAAAGACTTAGTTTCTCTGAATAATGACGTTTTTGGTTTAGTTTAATTTTTTGTGGAGGCTAAGATGTAAACATAATAATATACATTCAATATTTAATTAGGTTAATCATTTCTAAAAGTGCCAAGTAGGCATAATTTATTTGATATTGAACACATAGAAAAAAAAGTAAATACGATGGAGTTTAGTATTATCATATTAACATATTAGCAAAACGTTAAATCTTGCTCTAATTTCAGAAATGTATAAAAATATTACCAATATATGTAATAATTAATTTAGAAATTAATTATTTTAAAATTGGAACTCAAGTTTAATAATCAAACTCAAAAAATTCGAATCTAAACTCAAAACTCAAGTCTTCCACAACACTAGTGATGTATCTATTTAATAACCGGATATAAACAACACACTACATGATTTATACTTCACTTAATTTACACTTAAATTTGACATATATCTGCGATTGTACTAAAGTTTGAACGATATTTTCATAATTAAAATATTCAAACTGATCAACGAACGTACATTTATATAGTTATCATTAATATATTTTATAATACTACTTAGTACAGTATAATTTTTGACCGCGACTTTGTCTGTGTTGAAATCTCGAGACCTTTTACCTTGCAAAGTTGGATCAAACACTTAGCCTATTGCATTACGCAAAATATTTGAATTTATTACACATGAATTTTAACTTATTATTATTTTTTATTTAATATTTTCATTAAAATAATGTCGTCAGTTTCAATATCGTAACTACAAAAATAGAGAAATGACGCCTAAAAAACGAAATGCAAATATAAATAGTAATATTTTGATTTGAAGAGAAATAAACGAATTTTAAATTGTTTTAGTCTAAGATCCCGATCTATGTGGTGGACCCCTCATTTTTTTCCCAGGTTAAATATATTTTTAAACCATAAAACATATTAACAAACACGATCCAGGGGGATTGTCAGTCACCAAACAAAATTTTCCAGACTATTTTTTATTAAAAATCTATAGTCTGGAAATGTTTTGGTTTGACAACCCTATATCAATATTTTTTTTATAAAATTATCTACATTTTGATACTTGGTTCGTTCCAGGAAACGATACGAGCATTTAACTACTTCAATTTACCTGTTTATACCTGGATGTCAAATAATGTGTTCAAAAAAGACCGCCAAACGTATGACGGCATTTTCTACAATTCTTTTACATTCGATTGATACCAATTTGTCACAGAAAAGAGTTTTGTACTTAAAAAAGAATCAATAAAAATAGCCTAGAGCAAATTTTTGGTGGCAACCCCCTGGGTTGTGTTTGTTTATATGTTTAATGGTTAAAAAAACATCTGGAAAAGAGTGAGGAGTCCACCACATATGTAGATCGGGATCTACTACTATTTGTAGATATAACGCAAGTATGTTTATACGATTTTTTTTTTTTTTTTATTTCTGTAGCAACGAGTCATTATAATTTGTAGAATGCACTTTATTTGCTGCCGTCCCTTATTTAGAAAAAAAGGTATAATATCTAGTAAAATTTGAAATAATCATCGCGCATCGAATATTATCAATTATTTTCACATTTATACAAAACACTTATGTTAAGAAAATATACAAATATATTTAAACGACAAAAGCATTGAAATGTGGTTTTTTGTCTGAACCTCAACCATTCTGAGTACATATAAAGACACCTCCATACTTTATAAGGACTTTGCATCATCCGAGAATCGAACACCGTACCGAAAGCAAGCAACACGCGACACGTTACTTATTATAGAAAAAGATATGAATACAGATAAGTATTATCTTGTATATTGTTTTGTTATGGGGATTTCCCCGAAATATTTTATTCATATTAGGAAACTATTCCCGGCAGTCAAAGTGTGCAAATATTCGCTCATCGCACGCTCTCGTTCTAACTGATATATGAGGAATGCCTACTGTTGGTATGAGCAATAATAATAAAAAAAAAAAATATTTAATAAACATAATATTAAAGCAATAATAATAAAAATAATATTTTTTTATCATGGCTACAGTGATCATTTTTATTTCGTAGTATTAAAATTATCATGATTATCCAAGTAAAAAAAAACAACAAAAATACATGAATCTCAGTTAAGCGACAAAATTACTTTTTTAAGAAATTTTTTATTCGTATATTTCCAGCTATTAAAAACAGATTTTCTGAGGCTTTAGTTGAAAATTTCATATACAATATAATATGAAAGGTATCAATTACACTTAAATATTTTTTACAAATATGTAATTTGACCAATATTCGGTGTTTAATTGTTATTCAGTGAATATAAATAATCGTATTAGTTACATCACTAATATGTCTCTTCATTGGGTGACTTGGAAAAGTGACGGTGGTAGTTATATTTTACTAATATTATTATCTCGAAAATTTGGATGTTTGTTTGTTACTCTTTCACGCAAAAACTACTAAACGGATTTTGATAAAAATTTACAGTAATATAGCTCATACATCAGAGTAACAGATAGGCCATAATTTTTTAAATATTTGGTCATATGTAATTGAAATTAAACGCGAGCCGTGTTCACTAAAAAAAAGCGACTAAAAATAACTGTATAGTGTATTAAAATAATGTTTTTATATACTTAGGAGTATATAAACAATCCGTTATTGCTTAACTTACATTGCCCATACATCAGTTAGATTATTTGAATCATACGCTCCCTACAATAAATGGCAGTTATCATTTAAGTTACACACCTCGTACACGACCCCGTATGTGTCGTAGGATATAATACTCTATTGCAATGACGATATAGTCCTGTTTGCTTTCAATATTTATAGCGCGCGTTTTGTAAGTTTTTTGTTTTTTTAATGAATTTGCGAAAACGTTGTTTTTTTTTAAATATTTTTTTGCCCATTGTAAATATGGTACACTTGTACTGAAGTGGAACAGTGATTTGGCATAGCACTATAATACGAAACGAATCATTATAAAACTTAAAAAATAAAATAATAATAACGAGCAATGTTTACATTTTGAATTAATCCACAGATTGTTATCCACTGAAATATCGATGCCTTAAGCTAGGTATATTTTTATATTTTCAAATTTAATGTAATAATAATAACAACGTAACTCATCAAAACGAATAAAATAACGTCGATGTTGTTTTTCTACATTGAATGGACAACAAGCCTTAACCGAACAATATGTATAGAAATGTTCCACTTCCATCGAACAACGCACGCTACGGGGAGGCGCGTCTCGGCGAGACACTGCGGTGCGGCGAGACGCGAGGCGAGACGAGACGCGACGAGGCGGGGCGTCCCCGAGGCGTAGATACTTTGATGTATTGCGCTAACTGTTACATAGAAACATCATGCTAATTAACTATTAAATTATAATTTTTGACCAATTAAAAAAAAAGGAGTTTTAGTTTTATGATATGTGACATGTTCGAAAATTAATAATATAAATTCTCCTGTCCGATTCCGGCCACGGCGGCCAATCTCACTGAGACTAGCCAACTGCGCAGGAGATATTATATAGTGCATCGCATATACGCGCAGACACAACGTGCACTCTCTATTCCTGCCACTCTCATACTCCGGTGGGACGACCACTCGACACGACCGGTGAGAGTTAAGGCGCAGGACCGACGGCTTTACGTGCTCTCCCAGGCACGGGGGTGAAACACCGCCAACTTCCCGACTCCGGGCTGTTACTGAGACTAACTATACATAAAGACTCAATAACTAGGGCCAACCCGGGACTCGAACCCAGGACATACGGATGTGCAGCCGTTCATTTTCACCACTACAACACCGAGGCAGTTAACTTGTCCATACCGTTATCAGGTCGTGTATGTGCGGCGGCGCGGCGGCTACGTGGCGTCCGCCGCGTACTTCTCGCTACGCACGAAGTCTATCTGCGTGTAGAGGCGCTGCGCCGGCGCCGCCACGCCGCGCCGCGGCTCCAGGTCCAGCGCCGCGTAGTGCAGCGCGCCCACGCCCACGCCCTCTGCGCACACAGGGAATAACGTATACATTCATATTTTGAAGTGCAGCATACCCACGCCGGTAAAGATTTGGCAACTATCAATCTTTATTGTCCATCAAAAAAATATATATATACATTTCCTACAATTTGTAAAATATTATCTAGAAAGTACCCTTTTTTTTAAATATGTACGTATTATCACACCAATCAATTTTTTCTCTTGAATCAACTTTTATTAATCGCCACCAACACTTGAAATGAGTCTAAAAACAATTTTTCTAAATCATTTTACAACTGAATAAAACAAAAAATAAACAAAAAAAAACATCGACTAACCTCTAACATCATCCGGTCTAATGATAGTTTTGGTCGCAGTGGGATTATTCGGTATCTCCTCGGTATCGGAGGATTTCCCCGCGATGTTGATACCTCCCACTAACTGTACGTACTGGGGCGAGGACGACACTTCAGTACACATATCGGACCTTAACTCAGGACTTTTACGGCCATCTTCTGACAGCTCCCTCACTGTCGTTAGGTAATGATGGTCATCTTCTAGTTCGGTTATGTCTGACTCGGGAGGGGAGGAGGGGGATTCCATGGACATGTGGAATAGGGTTTGCGAGCCGAGAGGAGTTCGGGGTTCGCGTCTCCTTTTCCTTTCATCCGGGGAGGATGCTATGGGGGGTGGTTGCCGAGGGGTGGAGATGGCTATGGGGCGGGTGGGGGCGCGGCCGTAGGTCATTTCGACGTAGCCGTCTGGGGTGGAGGAGGGAGTGGGAGGGAGGTCCCCGGGTCTCATCTCCACGTAGCCGGCGTTGCGCGGCGACATGTCCACGTACTCGTCGATGTTGCGTCTTTCGAGGAAACCGGCAACGGGGGGAGTGCGCGCTACGATCACCTATCAAAAATAAATGTGTTTAAATATTTATCATAGAAGCTATACTTTTTTTTAATTAGTAGGTTCATTTATGCATTAATTTAAAGGTTTAAATATATTTTTTTCATAGTTACTTTCAAAACCTGGTTTCAAAACTTTCAATTCATAAAATGTAAAACCAGATATTTATCATAACTTTGCTATTCATCCCCAAAAAAAAAATACGAACAAGTGTGAGTCGGACTCGCCCATCGAGGGTTGTAAATTTGTAGGAAATCTGTTTAACTTTCATTTTCGACTTTTTTTATTTTTTGGATTTTTTCTTTTATTTGTGCTGTAAGACCTTGCTTTTTGCCAAATTTCGTGATTCTAGGTCAACTAGAACTACCTATAAGGTATTTCCGATGACCTAGAATTGTCAATTTTGGTTAAAAGCAAGGTCTTCAGCATAAGTAAAGGGAAAATTTTGGAAAATAAAAAAAGTTAAAAATAATGTAAATTTTGGTACTTACAGGTTTTCACAGTGTACGGAACCCTAAAAACACCAAATGTCACTTCAAGCAAGCAAACATGAAACCCACCTTAGGTGCGGGGGAGTTGGAGGAGAAGTCTAGCTCCATCCAGTCACCGGCGGCGGCGGCGGCGGCGGCGCTGGCGCTGGCGGCGGGGGTGGGCGTAGCGGGCGCGGGCGGCGGCGCGGGGCAGCGGCGCGCGCCCGCGCTGTAGGCCCGCAGGCGCGCCGGCTCGGGCCGCGACGACGGCCTCGAGCCCACGCTGTAGGCGCGCGTCGACCGCTCCGACGATATGTGCGACGTCGCCGGCTCCAGCTGGTACTCGCTGTGGGGGTACAGTTATACTTATAAATGCGAAAAGTTCTGTTACGTTGCAACGGCTTACTTTCACTGTAATACAGCATTATTGTAATTTAAAAAAAAAGTACAAAAAAATAACATATTACTTTTTTTTACAGTGAAAGTTGAATAAGAAATGTCTACATCCATCAATTCTTGGATGTTGTTAAAGATAAATAATCTTAAAAAAAAAACATTCAAACCAAAAATTTTAATTAATTATTTTAAGCAACAGTGGGCCATCCTCAAAATGTCGAGTAAAATATTTATTTCTTTTCCAAAAATGTTGTTTTTTATAAGCTACAAGTCCTACCCCCAAGCTAAAAAAAAATTATTTTTCGTTCCACTCAAATACACAATCAGGGCCGCCAGTAGAGACAGCCGCTGCAAAGCAGTCACTCAAATTATAATAAATCAAATTTTATTATACAAAATTTAAAAAAACCGTCGAGTCTAGTCATTGTATGCGACGAATATAAAAATTCAATAAAAATACGTAATAAGTAATAATTTAAAATGAAATATACATAAAATAATAATATATTACAATTTTCCTATGACACAAGACATAAGCTCACCTGAACCTGGGGTCGGTGGAGGGCGTGCCGCTGCAGACGGAGCCGCTGGAGGACACGAGGCCGAGCGGCTCGTGCGCCGGCGCCATGGGCAGGTACCCGTCGCCGTCGCCGCCCCCCGCGCCCTCCGCCTCCGCGCACAGCGACGACGTGCGCGAGTGCGCGTGCGAGCTGCCGCGCGTCGTCATGCTGCAAGGGGGACCGACTGTTGTAGCCATACACGTATAGAGTGAGCCGACTGATTCTTTGCCAGCCGTTAGCTAAAGCGGTAGTCCACTACGCCGGCCAAATATGGGTTAGCGTACTTCGTCTGGCCTTCGAAAACTAAGAGTTTGAGCAAATAATCAAAATTAAGACAATCATGTAACATATTAGTATACTCTTAAATTATAGTTTTTGTATTTTTTCTCAGAAATGAGATATTTTTCCGCTGTAAAAAGTATCCTATATGTTGACCCGGATAATCAGCTATGACCATACCAAATTTCATCAAAACCCGTCCAGCAGTTTTTCTGTGATGCGGTAACAGACAGACAGACAAGAATTCTAAAAACTATAGATTCAGCCTCTGTATCGATAATAATGTCTATTTCAATAAGATTTTCCAGAAAATACTTAATGTACAGATTTGAGTCAGTTAGAATTTTATTACATGTATAGATTTTTTTACATTTCATTTATATACTCAAATTGGAATAAAAGACATGTATTGGCCGCACGTTTGCTTTCTCTCTTCTAGAGAGTGGTCAATTTCATGAGCCTATTGCTCAGTTCATTTTCTATGTCCATAGTTGTAATATATGTATTTGGTAACAAGAGTATTGTTATATAGTCGCCTTTATACTTATTTGCTCATACTACCAATACTTAATTTTCGAAAGACATACTCAGTCCGTCCGCACTTAGCCAGCGTGGTGGTCTAAGGCCTATGGTATATGGGTAAATTTCAGCTAGGGTATTTCGTAAAATTTTTTTATTTTAATACAAGAGAACCATACGAGATCATTTACTTACAAACTGATACCATGTAATCAGACAATTTTCATCAAAATTGAAGTAACCACTCATCAGTTTCAGGCTTTCATTAGAATCATCAAAATCTTGTGTAAAAATCAATCTCACCTACTTTACCATTTAAAATATTTGCACCAATCAATAAAATATATAAATATAGAGCTAAATCCGGTATAAGTACATGCTACCTCATGAAATCCTTGGACATGAGGTCGCAGCAGTCGGGCTCCTCGGGGATGCGCGGCGTGCGGTACCACTCCGATATCGAGTCGATGTCGTCGCGCGACGAGTCCATACCTGCGGCGGACATATACAGAACCTCACTTATCAAAGGCAAATCTAACCAAAAATATTATCAAATAATTTATATTAATAACTAGCATTGCCCGCGGCTCCGCCCGCGTTCAGATGACCAAAAACTAAATTCTTAGGTTTCACATGTTAATATACTCTTACATTGCAGTTTTTATATTTTTTTTTCTCAGAAATGAGACATTTTCCCGCGGTAAAAAGTATCCTATATGTTGACCCGGATAACCAGCTATCACCATACCAAATTTTGTCAAAATCCCTCCAGTGGTTTTTCTGTGATGTGGTAACAGACAGACAGACAAAAATTCTAAAAACTATAGATTCGGCCTCTCGCGAATGTACAGATTCAGCTTAGTTACAATTTTATTATATGTATAGACTACTGCACCCTCGCTTCGCTCCGGTTCGGTCCTAGGTACGTTTTAACGGTTAGTATGGAATATATACGACTACATATAAGTATATAGCCTATAGCCTTCCTCTATAAACAGTCTACCTGACGTAAAAAGAACTTTTCAAATCTTATTAGTAGTTCTGGAGATTAGCGCGTTCAAACAACCAAACAAACTTGCTCTCTATATTTAACAACTATATATTTTTTTGTAAATAAATAAATACTTTGTCGTGATCAGAATAGGAGATATTTATTTATTTACTTATTTATTGCAATCAGAAATATTATAATTGAATTAAATTAAATCAATTTTTATAAATAGTAATAAATTTCAAAAAAAATCAACAATTCATATAATATACCATCTAGGTCAATATCGCGCGGCGGCGGCCTCTCCGGCTCGAAGGACGAGGTCGCGCGCGACGGCATCGTGTCGCACCGTTTGCGCATCACATTCGAATCTGAGAACAAAATATCTTTATTTTGAACAATACGTTTTGTATGAAGAAACCCTTATTTTTGGAACAGGATTTGTATCTCGGTTGGCACTGCCCATAATATAAAATAAATATAGAAAATATTAATACAACTTTTAATAAGTACAAAAGATTCCATAAAATTTTTATAAATAATAAAATTGTGGAATTAAAATATTTTATTAATAATATACAAAAACAAATATAATATATAATGAACTATTTTAAATGATAATTAATGATAATTTAATATTTAAAAAATAATCTATCTATAGTTCCAGTGTTGCTAGCAAAGCGTAAGTCGGATAGAAATATTGAGAATTTTGCTGAAATTAATAAAAATAAATTAAAGATTTTATTCCATTGCATTAAAAAGCAGTTAATTATTGGACGTTTTGTTAGTTTGTGATAAAATATTTCATATTTATATTTGCATTGCTAGCTAAGCCATTAGTCATTTGTACGAGGATGGGTTTCAACTATAAGAAAATTGACCTTATATGTTTACATATAGAGTGAACAGTCAAGCAACAAGCTACAGGTTTGATGGGAGTCATGGTAATGAATTAATAACACGACGGCACATATTTATTTGTGCCATAAGAGCATCGTTCACGTTTAAAATTTCAAGATTAAGGTGTTATATAAAAAAAATAGACTTTTGATAAATAAATACCAAAATAAACGTGATAAAATAATATATTTATTCAACAATACAAATCTAAATGTGCAAAATTAACAAAATAAAAGCTCATACGTAAGCACATGCATATATCAAGCGTCTTCTATCCACTTGAAGCTCAAACTCAAATCGTAAAACATTTAGTGTTGCTAGACTTCAAATTAGTGACATATTGAAATAGCAACACCGTGTTAGTATAGATGCGATGCGTTAGATGAAGCCTGTATACATACTCTTGGTATGCGCCGGCGAGAGTTTCGACAACCTTGTACCGGTGCTTGCTCTTCTGCACCACGGCGTCTTCTTTGTAGAGAACATGTCCGTCCCATTGACTGCTTTACATGAGGAATGCATTACGGCCTTCTCTAATATGGCGCGATCTAGCTCGTCCCCGGTGAGAGGGGCCGATCGGGTCCTCTCATGGACTATTTTGAGGGGTTCTTGGAATATCGAACAGCCGGTGGGTAAGGACACTGTCCGGTGGTGTTTAATGATCCGCACGGGATCGGGTTTTTCGGGCGTTAGTGTGTTATTCGGCGGTTGGTTTTCGGCTGCGGAAAATACAATGAGAAGCGACACGTAAACATATGGCACCAAGCGTCACCCGGTGCGATGGTTTGTTAAGTGATTCTAGACGATGGTACCTGTTAGAAAATTTTACTATTTTATCTATTAAAAATCTTTTTTACTACGAAAAGGAATTAAATAGTAATAATTTGATATTAAAAACAATATTCTTAGGTACCATTGCCTTAAATGTTAAATTATGACAAAAGCATGGCAACACCCACTATGAAATGTATGTGTATACCATACTTTTGTGTGTGCATGTATGTATTTGTATGTAATGATATCATTACATCGGCCAGTAACGTGTCCGACCAAAAACCATCACCAAGAGTCATGCAGACAATCAAGTATCACTATCAGACTTGGCGAAGCGTACGATGCCTTCACGAACTCAAACATGCGCACAAATTCAGTTTAGATGAGAATAGTGTTATAATAATCTTCAAAGTTTTCTATTATTAGTTATAAATACTTAGTATATAAGACGCAATATAATTATCAAAGTTCGTTATTAATATTGTCTAATTTCTATTTTTTTTGTTTTTTTTTTCTAAAACAAAAATTCCGTGTAATTTAAAAAAATATGTATCCCCATAGTGATGGTAAATGAAACTATTTACATGAAACAACAATGAAACAAGGTTAGTTTGAAGTACAGCACATAGCAGATAGAATATTCAAGTATCACCATTTTTAGTTTTAAAAGAGGTCACTTTAAATACTGTTAGTATTTATTTAACATTAGGCTATTATTTATATGAAATAAAAAAATTAAATACAAAATATTTTATGATTAACATAATATAAATATATCTATATGTATTTAAATCTAAACACCTTACTCTTCACAAAACACTAAAAGGAAGCCACTCCACAGTGGCTGTTGAAGATAATTAGCTATTTTAGAGGAAAAAAAATTATTTGAGGGAAAAAATAAAGATAACGGTAGTGGAATGATGAACATACAGATGAAAATGACAACGATACAATGATGATAACGATGATGGTGAAGATGACAATTTCAAGCGACGTAGAAGAGACAAATCGTCAGCCAAGGAAAAATACCGAGTATCCTTTTAAAATATAAAAACTTCATACACAAAATACCGTAAGGTAAAAAATATTTAAAAATCCATTAGAATATTTCATTTTTGAATTGAAAAAGAATCATATAGTTTAGGATACAAAGTATTACAATGATCAAGATGCCACCACAACAGTCACCATATACGACGTTGGCATATTATACAGACTGCTAGATATTAGTTTGACTGTAAACTGTAGTACAGAAATTATAATATTATTTATATAATTTTTAAGAATTATAAAAAAGAAACAAAAATAATATATAAAATAACCACACATTAAATATTGATAAAATGTTGGCAAATAAGAAATTTTTCAACAACATAAATAATTTTTTTTTGTTTAAGTTTATGAAAATTAAAAATATAAACGCAGTGTACAATCAAACCGACATCTGTATCGCAGTACGTCTGTACAAATTCGTACCGTTTCTAGGCGTCAAGGGCGCTATAGCGGCAGACGAGTCGTCTATTGAGTACGTAGCGGATGCGCACACGCATTGCCTTATACATGAGCCAACACACAGGCCCTTGTCTGTAATAGATTTACGCCAATATAACTCTTATACCATTAAGAGTTACTTCTTTTTTAATTGTATAGTCCAAGAGTCATAAAAAACCTTTTTTTTAAGAAACGCTAAAAATAAATATTTTCCGTCAAAACAGTAATTTTAATTATCAAATCAGACATTTCAAATCAATACGTTCTTCTTTTAATTTTTATCTATGTGTACCGTATATTATAGTACGAGAGCCGACACCTATTTATTGCTCGTACTTCGTTCTTTTTCATACATTTAATTCGACTTACTTTTACTAGTCAAACTGTGCGGCAGTGATTTTTTTAAATATATATATTAATATATTTACCTCTTGGTGTAATACCGCACCCAATAAATATTTAAGAGTTGTAATGAACATAAAAAAAAACTTTTTATTATTTAAACTTTTATCAAAATTTAAAATGGAAAGTTCAATTGAAATAATGAACTCTTTATATTTCATTACAACTTTAATAGCCACAGAAACATATTGTTAGTAACTTCTACGCAGCAATCTTTTAAACCCAATGTTCGGATTAATAATGTATACAAGAATAGAGAATATGCGTGTTTTTTTATATTTTTCTATACAATAGCTAATATTGATATAATTTAAAAAAAAATATTCAGGTCCAAAAAAATAAAATTTAGTATATTATTATTTTTTAATTAACATACCGATATTGATACTTTAAACGCCCGCCATTTCGCGCGCTTGGCGTGACGTCACAGTATCATACATAGACAAATGACGACTTTAATTTGTAGCGGCAAAATCACTAACTGCTCTGTTACAAAAATACTTGGACGTCACATTCGGTCTGACCAATGCTTTGCGTTTCAACTACTTTGAATTTCCCACCTATTCTTGCACTTTTTCGTTTTTAATAATTTATTTCTTAATCAAAAGAAATAACATAAAAAAAATGATATTTAAACTCAAAAGCAAAAAAAAAAATTACCTTTATTTAAATCACACGCAAATTCCCCATTTCGAAAATAGAGCTGTTATCTAAAATGATAATGTCGGACAACACTAATGTTACAAATAATGGAGAATATGTTCTTATATAAAATAGGGCAAATAAAGTATTGGGATGGGTTGAAAAGATTTCTAATTGGTTATTCCATACTAAAAGCCAACTAATTCTACATACACTACAGGAAAATAGTTTACTACTGCTACTAAAAATGCGTGAATGGGCTGCCTTATTACGTTACCGTCAGATATGTAAAAATATTACTTAAAAAAAACAATTAAAACAAGAAGTTTCTATAATTAGCTGAATTTAATTATTACACAGACTAATTTATATTCAAAAACACGATATATTTTTTTCAAGTTTATTTTTACATATAATCTTATATATTGAAAAAAACCTTGTCTTTTAATGATATTTTGAAATTCAAATTATGTACGAACATGGAGTCACTAAAACTTTTCTCAATCATTGTTTTAACCTACCAAATAATTTTAAATGTAAGTTTAAATTATATTATTTACATATCCAACGGTAACAATCGCTTCAAAATTATAAGGTCGTATGTAAAATGCGTCAAAATGCATCAAGGTCTATGTTTTCTATTCAAACTACATGAAATGTGTCTATGATAAATTAACACAAAAATGGCAGTGTGTAGAGCAACCCTGGCCAAAATTAAAGTGAACCTCGAAGGTCATTATCGCATTGAATTTTCCGCGTGAGTCATCAATTTTTCGGTCAAAGACCTTCTATATCATCTTGTTTGACATAAACTACGTCAATGTGTACTGGATTGTTTTTAATTGTGTAAAACTTGGATTCGAACCCGCAATGCTTTGTACTTTACTATCTTTACCATGGCATTTAATGAGGAAAATGACTAGATATTATACTTAATTTAAATTAAAAAGTATTTAAAAATAACACAATAATTATTTAGATTACTAAGATAATGTCATTTAACTTTAACAAATAGTTTTGATATAATTCTTATACAAAAAAAAAAAAAAAAAATAGGGGCGGGCCTGGATCTATGCTTTCACGGTTCCCTTACGACATGCTTCGCATGGTAGTGTAGGCGCAGGCCTACCCTACTGTCTCCTTCAGAGACGGTAGGGTGGCGTTGGTCTTGGGGGAGAGTGACGCTTTTGTCGCAAAGATCCCCAAGGCAAGTTCGGTGTACTATCCTTCACGAGGTTGCCAGCCCTGTTATTGGTCTAGTTCACTAGGAAATAGACGCAACAGAAAACACCGAGCGCTTGCTTTCACTTTTATTTATATATGTATGTTTATGTATGTCTATGTAAGTGTATCTATGAAATATATATGTACGTATATGTATAGCTTTAGTTTAGAACCCAATCCAAGGTGTTATTCGTACCGTGCCGAGGGATGCGTGGCTGGGGGGGAGCTCAGTCGCTAACGGTGGCTATCCGACACCTGGACGAATCGGGTAGTATTTTAAGTCCTCCCATCGACATGCGGGGCTCTGTCGGTGGGCATTTTTATTTCCCTAGCTACTCGTGGGACCTGAATGAATATGGACCAAAAAGATAAAAAAGTAAATGACGTTACCACGTCACAAACCCTGGACGAATTGTGCCAGGACCTCATGCCGCTGACAATGGGTGCGGATGAAACCGCCCAAATGTCAGCGCAACCAATGGAGGTGACTGCAGGCACCGAAATGGCGATAGGGGCTTCTACAAGCCCTGAATCACCTACTGGTAACCCTGCTGCCACCTCCTCTGATGCTGCCCGACCCAAACGCAAAAGATTGAGTGGGGCAGCCTTAATCCGACTTAAGGCTCTTAGGGGACAGGGAGTGGAGGCTGCAAAAGCCTACGAACTGTCCGCTAAAACCTTTGCGGAACTCAGGGCTATGGGGTATCGTTTCGAGGCTTCGAAACCCGAATCCGAGCGCTCCATCAAAAGGACTCGCTCGGAGGAGGAATCGCCACAGGGACAACCAGCGAGGAAGTCCCAAAGGTCGAGCGAAGCACCGTCGGCCCCACCACCTCCAGCTGCCTATAGTGCGGCCTTATCTTCCTCCAAAGTTGGCGTGAGGGACTCCACTCCCATGACTGACGCACAGCTGCAGTCACTCTACAACGCAATTGTGGCCCAAATCACCACTTTGGAGAAGGGTAAGGGACCTGCCTTTGGCGGACTATCATTCAAGCCGGGTTGGCTACTCATCACCTGTGCTAACCAGCATGCCAGGGAATGGCTTGAGAAATGTATACCTTCCTTACAGCCGTGGCCAGGAGCTAAGCTCGCTCTCATTAATGAGAGCGACTTGCCCAAACCAAGGGTTGGGGTGGTATACATTCCCGATCCGGAGGCCAAAGACGTTGATAAGGCGCTCTCCTGTCTCCGGATACAAAATGATGGCCTTAATACGGAGCTGTGGAAGGTTCTCAATAGGAAGGCGGAGAAGGGCGGGATCACACTCACCCTCTCCATCGACGACCAATCTGTTGAGACCCTTCAAAAAACCGGCATGAAGGCCTACTTGGCTTTCAAATCGGTCCAGTTCCGTATTAAGGGCATCAACCAGACGCCAACGAATCCTGGGACACTTCCCTCTGAACCTGTGCCGTCTACCTCTCGTTCTGGGGCCGCGGCTGCTGGAGCAAGCGCCAGCGTTGCTGCGCCTTTACCATCTGCTGCACCTGGCGTGGCTCCTGTGGCCGGGACCAGCGGAGCGACTGGTACTCCGCACAGGTTTCCTCGTACAGGGGGGCACACCAGGGGTGGACAAACCCCCAGAGGCAAGAGCCAGCGCCCCCGCAAACAAAAGGGACCCAGACCCAGCAAGGGCAGTGACAAGCGCAATGGGGCCCGTCCCCAGTAGCGCTTCACACCCAACTGGCGACGCCCCCACTAAAATACTCCAAGCCAATCTACACCACGCTATCGCTGCCACAGCCGTGGCAGAAAACACTTTTAGGGCAAATGGCATGGATATAGCGCTGGTCCAGGAACCATGGCTTAACGCCAAGTCCAAGATTTCGGGCTTAAATGGAGTAGGTAAGATCCTAGCAAACGAAAATGGCACCAAGCCTAGGGCCTGTATCGTTTTTAAGAAAGGTATTAATTTCTTGCCTGTTACAGAACTTTGCAGTGATGACACCGTTGCTGCAATCACCGTTCTCAGAGGGCGTGGTCAAACTAGAGCACTTGTGTGCTCGGCCTACCTGCCCGGAGAGAAAGCCAACCCCACCGAAGAACTGTCTAAAGTCGTCGACTACGCTCGAAAACACAAGACAGAACTAATTGTTGGCTGCGATGCAAACGCCCATCACACAATCTGGGGAAGTACTGATACCAACAAAAGAGGTGAGTTACTTTTAGAATTTCTCCTAGCTAACGACCTTCAAATACTTAATAAAGGCTGTAATCCAACCTTCGCTACTAGAGCTAGGCAGGAAGTTCTGGATATCACTTTTGCTACTGAACAAATCGCTAAACACATAAGTAAATGGCATGTCAGTAATGAAAACTCTTTGTCCGATCACAAACATATTGTCTTTAGCATACAAGGCTCAATAACTACTGAGCCTAAAAGGCTTAGAAATCCCAAAGCCACCTCGTGGGTAGATTTTAAAAACCTGCTCGCTGAGGCAGCTAAGGATTTTCCAAAAGCAATCAAGACACCCGACTCCCTTAACATTTTAAACAACTTATTAACGGATGGCATCTTAAATGCCTATGAAAATAGCTGTCCTGTCAGGGAACTTAAGGTTAACAACAATACTCCGTGGTGGAACAAAAAGCTAGAACGACTTAGAGTTTCCACACGTCGCTTATTTAATCAGGCCACTACACCGTATGGGTGGGAACGGTATAAGAAGGCTCTGACTAAATACCACAAAGAGATCAGAAAAGCTAAAAGAGCATCTTGGAAACGATTCTGTGAGAATATCGCCCAAACACATAAAGGAGCGAGAATCCACAAGGTCCTTGCCAAGACACCAAACATCTTTCTCGGCTTTTTAAAAAAGCGAGACAATTCCTTCACGACCACAGAGATGGAGACGCTGGAACTTTTAAGAGCAACCCATTTCCCAGGATCGTACCCTGTCACCGGCAGTGAATCAAACCCAAAGGAAAACTACATCCACAGGGCAAATAGTTGCGACTGGAAGATGGCCAATACCATTTTTAGGCCTAACCAGATTAGATGGGCTTTGAAAAAATTCAAACCATTTAAATCAGCAGGGGAAGACGGAATTTTTCCAGCTCTGCTTCAACAGGGCATGGAACTCCTTATCCCGCATCTGGTAAAATTATTTAGAGCAAGCTTTGCTTTGGGCATTATACCAGAACAATGGACTAAGGTCAAGGTTATCTTTATACCGAAGATCGGTAAAAACGACTACTCTCAGCCCAAATCCTTTAGACCTATTAGTCTTACTTCTTTCCTATTAAAAACAATGGAAAAAGTAATCGATCAGCACATTAGAACAAGGTATCTTGTGGCTAGACCACTTTCCTGCAACCAACATGCTTACCAAAAGGGTAAATCCACAGAATCTGCCTTAGTAACTCTGATCGACAAGGCAGAAAGGTCCCTAGAGGATAAGCAGACAGCTCTATGTGCATTTTTGGACATTGAGGGGGCCTTTGATAACACACCTACGGCAACCATCCTGAAAGGATTAAATGCAAAAGGTGTTGATATCACAACCACCAGATGGGTGGAATATATGCTCTCCAACCGGTGTGCGAAAGTTACGTTAAACGAACACTCGCACAACTTCTACACTACAAGAGGCTGTCCGCAAGGAGGAGTGCTTTCACCCCTATTATGGACACTAGCTGTAGACCTACTACTTGTAATCATGGCAGATCTCGACTACGATACACAGGGCTATGCAGATGACCTTGTTGTAGTAGTAAGAGGTCCCTGCCTGAACACAATTTCCACCAGGTTACAAGGAGCTCTCAATACCATCACAAGATGGTGCAGAGAAAATGAGTTATCAATAAACGCTGATAAAACAGTTATTGTACCATTTACCAGGAAAAGGAAGCTTGAAAGGCTGACCGAACTCAGACTCAATGGCAAAACCCTTAACCTATCAAATGAGGTAAAGTACCTTGGAGTCATTATTGATCAAAAGTTGACCTGGAACTCTCACCTCAACAACATTATACAAAAAGCCAAAATGGCCCTCTGGATATGTTGTCGAATGGCTGGAGCCAAGTGGGGCCTCAAGCCCAAAATGGCTCTCTGGATGTACACCGCCGTGGTAAGGCTGATCATAACATACGCCTCAGTCGTATGGTGTAACAAAACCAAACAAAAGACAACTATGAGTAAACTAGACAGCATACAACGGATGGCATGTCTAATCATCACGGGAGCCTTCCACTCGGCACCAGGCGACGCTTTAAATGCATTGTTGGACATAGCTCCGCTATATCTCCACGTGCAAAAAGAAGCTAAATCTTGCCTCTACAGGCTCTGTACACAATCGAATGTAAAGTTGCAATCGCAATATATGAACAAACTCAAGGAGTTGACATTCGAACACAAAACTCTGAAAATGCCAGTCGATGGCATGAGTACAGAGTTTAACTTCGCAAAACAGTACCAAATAGATCTTCCCAACCGGGACATGTGGCTAAAAAACCAAGAGTCTCACAAAAAGGGCAGTCATGTTTGGTTTACAGATGGATCCAAGAAAGGATCTGATGTAGGGTGCGGCATCTATGGCCTTAAGCCTAGATTTGACATGAGTGTCAATCTGGGCAAGGAGGCCACCATCTTCCAAGCCGAGGTCTTCGCCATCAACAAATGTGCTGTAGTCATCCTGGAGAGGAAGCTTAGAAACCAAAATATCTACATCAACTCAGATAGCCAAGCAGCACTTCTGGCTATAGATTCTCTTGAGACCAACTCTAAGTTGGTCAAAGACTGTATGGATAATCTGAATGTCCTGGGCACATCCAACAGAGTTACCCTCAGATGGGTCCCGGGTCACTCAGGCATAGATGGGAATGAAAAGGCTGATGCATTGGCAAGAAGGGGCGCTGAAACCCCAGATTGTGGCCCAGAACCATTCTGTGGCATTGCAAAACAACATGCCTATTCAATTCTCAAAATTCACTGCAATCGCCAAGCACTTCAAGAGTCTACACTCTAAAGCGCTAATTAAGGGATATCGCAAAAAGTTTACAAAAGAGTTGCTTCAACTCAACAAGTATAAAACCAGTGCAGTAACCAGAATACTTACTGGTCACTGCAAACTCAATAAACATATGTTTACCCTCGGCCTCAGTCAGACCGCAATGTGCAGACTATGCCATGAGACAGAGGAAACTGCTATGCATATCCTCTGCTCGTGCGGTCCACTCATGCACCGCAGAAGTATCTATCTAGGGCAGCATATTATGCAACCGGAAGAGATACAGATGCTCCCCGCTCAGAAAATCTGGAAGTTCCTGGAGTCAACAGGACTAAGCGGAGAACTTTGAACTCACTATAAAGGGAGCTACAATGGACCAAAACTGGTCGACGTAGCTAGGGCCGACCTCGGCACCACACCCAACATTAATAATAATAATAATATACAAAATATCTTATATATGATATTATAATATAACACAATATTGTAATTATAAAGAAAAATTAAATAAAAAATGCTGTAGGTACATAAACAATTGAGTTTCCAAAAATATTTTACACAAAATATTCATTTCTCGGAAAGCAGGCTGGTTGATTATCTATAATTTTCAACACTAAGTGATCATTGAAAACTTTTCACTTTATCCAATAAAATAAATATTAGAAGAAATCGACAAACATATTTGTTATATTTGATATGAATAAGAACAAACTTAAAAACTGAACTCAATCACCAACAAAACTCGCTTGTTTACATATTTTATCGCAATATTTAATACGAAATATCGGAATATTCCTAGTATATAACACAAACCTACCAACATATAAAAGAGAACCATATAAAACTCACCATTATATATGCCTGACTTCGCTCTAACATCCGAGTACGTCCGCGGCCGAGTTGGCAGCGAATTCGAGCCCTCTATCAATGAGCCCTTCGCGGGTAACACTACGTGATCCTTTTCGTTTTCATTCTCCTTCGCACAGTTTTTCATTGCGCTGAAATATCAATAACAATTAGATTTTTTTTTAATAAATGTAGTTATAAGTTCAACAACATCAGCATCTGCCAGTGAAATTTCCGTCAACATCAGCCCAGCCGTTTCGGAGATTAGCCGGAACAAACAGAAAAAAAAGTCTTTCTTATAAGAAAATCACAATTATACTGTAAATTTCATTTATTTACATTAAGTAAAATACTGTTATTTTGACATTACAAACATACACTTCAATTTTATTTATCTGTACAGATATAGATGTTTGAAAGTTTCAGTGGTCTAGTGGCTACCATGTACGGTTACAGATTGAGAGGTCCTGGGTTCGAGTCCCGGGTCGAGTCAAAACATTTACTAGGTTTTACCGTCACAAAATCGTATTATCCCGTAAAAATGTAGCTCAGATTGATTTCTTATCATTCGTGGCGAAATATCCAAACTGACTTTGATAGCGAAAGACAAAGTATATTTCTGCGTGCAAGAAATTATTTCAATAAATCATTAATATTAGATGAAATAAATGATAAGTTTCTATATCAATTTAATAACAGAAACGAATAACATAACTCGATTAATTATAGATAGGTAATTAATAAGAATTTAATTTTCCAATAAAGAATGTTATGCACATAGACACCACTCTCTGTAACAGTAATAAATAAGACTGGCCACAAATGTCTACTACTTATTAAATTATCTATTTCTTATTAAATTACCTCACATAAGAATTTCTATTATTACCATGAACATAACAATTTTAAGTAAGTAATAAGTATTTTCAGGGTTCCGTGCTAAAAATAATATTAATAAAAATAAAGACGACAAGTTAGCTTTCACTGTTTGTCTACGACCCTTCTTTTGTTAAATAATATAGTAACCGTAATATCAGTTAAGGGTTTAAAAGAACGACCCTTTATGAATTTGAATATTCTTCTATTATTGTATTGACAGAATGATGGACAGACGGATATGACGAAATCACGGGACAAATATCTTTACCCCCAATAAAAAAAAATGCATTGGTAGGAAATGGAACGTGTGACCGAACGTTTCATTCAGATTTTAGAGTGAACTCCATTCAAATTCATCATATATGACCCGTTCGAAAAAAAAACGGTTAAAGCCAGTACATTGAAATAGCCGAGAGCAGTGTTATCTTCTGTTAAACAAATTATAGGTAATATAATAACATTTAATACCAACTTATAAGGAATTTACTAAAACATAAATCTAGACGTAAAATAAGTAGTAAAGTATGAAAGTTCAAAGCAACTCACTGGTAAATAGTGGAGTGCATGCTTTGAGCGATGTTAGAGTCGTCTGAGTGCATCCACAGCTCGCCGGCTCCGGTGGCGGTTTGCCGACCGACTTCCATGTAGAAAAAACATTCTGAATCGCCACATCTGAAAAAGTACCGTTAAATTGAATATTTTAAATAGGAATAAACAAAATTAATTAATTAGTATAGATTTCTCCAGGATGAAATATTTTCCCGCAGTAAAAATCATCCTATGTGTGTGGACCCGGATAACCTATCATCATTCTACCAAATCTATCAGCTATCATTATACCAAATTTCATCAAAATCCGTCCAGTGGGCTTCTCGTGATGCCTTCCCAGGCAGAAATTCTAAAAATTATAGATTCGGCCTCAGTATCGATAATATATAATTAATTACTACATATTTCAATAAGATTTTCCAAAAAATATTTTAGTACAGATTCAACTTTATTACATGTATAGAAGATATAGATAGATTTAAATCTTATTATTTACTTACAATTAAACAACTTTTACTCAGTTGCAACTTGCAATGATTCATTCCTTTCAAAAAGCTTTATCAAAGTTACCCATAGCTGTGATATTATTCACAATTCTAAGAACTTTATAGATTATAGAAACAAAAAAAACGAAGCTTAAAGTTCCGATTATATGAAACACCTGTAGGTGCATACACGAGAAGTGTTTTTATTTCAATTCTTGAGAAGCTTTTAAAACTTACGAATCCTCTTTCATGAATAATTCAATACATTTAAAAGTAAAGTCGAGACGAATAAAATATTTGTTATTTTATGTCAATGATAGTATTTTTTTTATTTCCCTTAAAGGCGAATAGGAAATATCACTTGCTAAGTTTCAAATCGATATGCTAATTTGAAAAAGTGAGCTAAAATCAATTTTCTAGATATGTTTACACAAGAGTAGATACTAAGTTTTGTGTACTTAGTTAAAGATTTATTGTACAGCACAGCAAATGTCGTCAAAAAAAAAGATATCGGAATCTCATTAATAACTATAATATATACATACATAGTGAACTATAATAACATATCCATATAACTATAATATATAAACATACCCACAAAATCTAAGTATCCTCTTCATAATACTTAGATTAAAAAAAAACCTTACGTCTAAAACCTTAGTCTCTCCCGTGACCATGATTACTGTAAAGCATTGGAAACGTCGGGAACCAAAAATCAACATAAACCCGAAAAGATAGTTTTATTTAAAATGTCCTTTTTTAATTAGGAAAGTATTAAAGTCCTCTTTGCCGATTGCGGTCACGACGGCCCATCTCACTGAGATTAGCCATTTGCGCGCATCTACAGATTTGTGCAGGTTTGTGGGCGCAAACACGACTCTTTCACGCACTTCAACGTCCGTGGGACGACAATTTGACATTCGCCTTGAGATATCATTTTTAATCCCCGACGCAAAAAGAGGTGTGTTATAAGTTTATCTGTCTGTCTGTGTGTGTGTGTATTTGTCTGTGGCATCGTAGCTCTCAAACGGATGGACCGATTTCGATGCGGTTTTTTCATTTGAGAGCCATGTTATGTGCATAACATTTTTTATTGGCAGATTCCTTGCGGTGGTTCTTAGCTATATTTGGTTAATATCGGTCCAGCAGTGTGAGAGTATCAGCTCTTTTCCGAAATGATGTAAGGCACTTTGGCCTATGATTACTCGATTAAGGCTTCGCGCGTGCCAGTGTAATCGTTAAATGACAATTAATTTGCGTAGGGGGGTTTTTAAATTTTTAATTTATAATTATTAAGTTACAAATTGACAATTACAACTCATCCCTTCCTTTGTTTTTATAATAACAAACTCACCGTCTTATATTCTTGAGGGAATATTCAACACGCTCCGGTATGACGAGATCGCTGATCACGTTGTTGTGACTCTTAATCTTGACAAGGGTGAGGGTTTTGTCGGTGAGGCACAGGTTGTACAGACCTTGGATGTTCTTGGACACACCCAAGCCTTTCTTCTGTACGTTCACTTGCCACACGTGTTCTAGAAATAAATATTTTTAATTAAAAATACAACTTAGTTACCACTCGGTTTGAGTGAGAATGCCCTAAGCGCATTAACAAAAAAATGTTTTCAGTTGGCAAAGAATTGCAGTTTAATAGGTAATTTTTTTGCGGATTATTGTTAATATATCTTTTTGTGTTGAATTTCAATATATATGTTTATATAGTATTTGTTTCTTTATAATTCTATCATTAATCGTTTCTTTAATTGTTGTCTTAACTGAAAGCTGAGCTATAATCAGTTTGTCTCTCTATATCTGTATATATTTTTATCTTACACTATAAGAACCCGCGGCTTCGTCCGCGTTCAAAGTAGGTACAAAAAAACAAACTCTTCTTTCCTTTCTCTTTATAATAATGTATGGAAATCTGCCCGATTTGTTGACATTCATGATTACTGCCCCGCTCCCTTGGGTTGTGGCATGATAATATATAGCCTACCTATAGCTTTCTTCAATAAACGAGTTATCTAATGCGTAAAGAATTTTTCAAATCGGATTAGTAATTCCTGAGATTAGCGCGTTCAAACAAACAAACAAACTCTGCATCTTTATAATCTTTATATATATAATTCTTCTGTGAGTGTGTATGTCACTGAACTTCTCTCAAACGACTGGACCGATTTTGATGAAATTTTTTGTGTGTGTTCAAGGGGATCTGGGAATGGTTTAGATTCACAATTTGAATAATAATTTTCATCAAAATGGTCCAGAATGTTTTAGGTTATTAAAAAAAGTTTGAAATTTTCAAATTAAAGACGTGTAGACAGGACAACGTCTGTCGGGTCCGCTAGTATTAGTATAGATTTTAAACTTTACACTTAACAAAATTTAAAAAGTAACGCCAATCGTCACTTCCCATTGTGAAACAATTTTCATAATGCCTTTTTAAATGAAAAGATTACAATCCATCGTACCTTTTTAATTAAAAATTCACTATACCAGTCATAATTGAGTACAAGAGTGTTATAATTGCTGAAAACTTTTCTAAGCAAACATATTTACCTACTAAGTACTATCTACAAGAAAAAACTCAATTGTACAACCGCGATGGAATGTTGTTTTAAAGGAAACGAGCGCGGCCGTCAATCATCAGTAAAATCAGTCGATCATTGTCGCGAGTACTACTAATATTGAATTTATAAATAGACAGACACAATCATCTACTACTTTTAGAATACCGTTATGAGTATTTGAAGCTTAAACCGTTTTAAAAATTATTATTATTATTAGTAATTTAAGCTAGCTTCGCTCGGATACTTCCCTGGTTTGCTTACTTATAATAATATTAGGGACTCTCCCGCGCTCCGCTCGATTTTGCCTCTAGCAAAACAAACAAATCTATCCCACCAGAACCGTATATTTTTCCGGGATTAAAATAAGCCTGTTATTCTGATGTATGAGCTATATTATTTAAAAGTTTCATTAAAATCCATTCAGTAGTTTTTGCGTGAAAGTGTAACGAACATCTATACATCCAGACATCCTCACCAACTTCCGTATTTATAAATTATAATATTAGTAGGATACAGAGATCTGCAATTATAATAGCAGTATATGATTGTGATTACCAATTTTTCTATAGAATATACTAGCATTGCCCGCGACTCCGCCCGCGTTCAGATGACCAAAAACCAAATTCTTAGGTTTTACATATTAGTATACCCTTACATTTATACTTTTTGTATTTTTTCTCAGAAATGAGATATTTTCCCGCGGTAAAAAGTATCCTATATGTTGACCCGGATAACTAGCTATCACCATACCAAATTTCATCAAAATGGTTTTTCTGTGATGCGGTAACAGACAGACAAAAATTCTAAAAACTATAGATTCGACCTCTGTATCGATAATAATGTTTATTTCAATAAGATTTTCCAAAAAATATTTAATGTACAGATTCCGCTTAGTTACAATTTTATTATATGTATAGATAGATTAAATCTTTAAATTAGATGTTTCATTAAAATATTTTTTTCCAAGGGCCGAATAGAGTAAGAGAAGATAATGATTACCAACTTCCTTTTCCGTTTTTGGCCATTATTAATGTGGCGATAGGTACTCAATGCCGCGATTAGATGAAGGCAATCATTGCGTTATAAAAAAGTTTTACTACCATAATTATAAATACAAAGGTTTGGATGGATGGCTGTTTGTTAATCACGCCAGAACCGCTGAATGAATCTGGATGAAATTTGGCACAGAGATAGATTATGGTCTGGAATAGCCATGGGTTACTTTGTATCCCGAAAACTGTACGGTTCCCATGAGATAGATTTTTTTTTTCACAGAGTAAGGGATAGACTATCTATTCCATACATCCCTGAGCGAAGTAGCGTGAGTCACTAGTATTGCCTTGTAAAAAAGAATTCAGTTGTTTATTTTAATGTAAAGGATATTTTCTGGTATTACTAAAATGATATACAACATATATTTTAGTTTACACTACAACTGTAGTATTGGCAATATTTTATCGACGTACCACGTGAGCGAATTACTTACGTAATACATTATTTAGTATGATTACTTATATTACCGCTTTGGCTAGACCGACGTGTGATTAAAAGTAACAACAAGGAAAACAGTAAGCGTTTTATTGTTCATACCGGCCAGATACCTGTACAGGTATTTTTTAATTACTTAGTCATAACTTTATAGATATAGCAGATAATAATTCATGCACATTTTAGATTTTCTGTTGCGGTAGGCCATGTACGAGTAAATGTGGCATTTGAACATTAGAACAATTTAAACATTAGAACTTTTATGAAATGATTATATTTATTAGTAAACTTCGTGCACCGGACCAATTGGTTAGTCAAAGAAATGCAATGCCAGATCTTGACAGTATCTCGATAAAATCTATACAATTCGAGGAAAAACAAAATAATTACCGCCGTAATTAAAGAAGAATGTTTCGCTGTAATTGAAAAATATCAACTTAACAGAATATGCAATAAATAGAATCTAAGTTATTAATTTCAATATCTAAGAATTTATTGTATTTATACTCATAATATTAGATATATTGTGAGTATAAATACAACAAATTCTAAGATATTAAAATTAATAACTTAGCGCCTACACACTAGCTTCACTCGGGTGCACTCCTTTTTTTCTTTTTTTTTTTAACGTTGGGAAATGCATTTACGCACGACGTGTGGGACTCACCGGCGTAATACAGCCAGTACTATCCACTAAAACCCAACAAAACCTTCCCCCGTCTTAATGGGACGTTGCAGGATCGTTTACGCATTCAACTACGACGCCCCGACAGCAGGTCTGCCAAAGCAGACCACCACAACCATGGGGTTGCTCCAAGGTCCACTCTGCTATCAGAGAAGTACCAGGAGCAACCCGCAAGGTACACCGCCCCCCGAAGAGGGCCACCTCCCACCGCCCACCGAAGTGGGCAACCTCCCTGTGCGTTTCTTAGCTTCGCGCCCGGTTGGATTGCCGGGCACTACTGAGCCCCCCGCACCACGACAAGGTGAACGCACGTTGGGGGGGAACTCGGGTGCACTCCTAGGCAACTAACAGTTGTGCCAGTATAAGAGTGTTACTCCAGTCTCCAAGTTATAATCTATAGATGTGTACTAAATTACATCTAAATCCATACAGCCATGTTAGCGTGAAAGAATAACAAAGATATATATATATATATATATATATATATATATATATATATATATATATATATATATATATATATATATATATATGTATACACTAGCAGTACCCGCGGCTTAGGCCGCGTTAAAATTTTCGATCGCTACCAAACTTCACAGGATCACCGGCTGGTCTAATCTGAAGATTTCTTGGAAACTTCATCAAAATCGTTCCAGTTTTGGAGTCCATAGCGAATACACATACACACATCGATTTTTATATACATACTATACAGCTAGGGTTAGTTAAAATATTGTAAAATAATCGTTCGCGCGTTACGGCAGCAATACAGACATAGCCGCTGCAGCTCCCACTTCCAAAAATTTTATTTAAAAAATCAAATTAAAAAAAAAGTTTCATTGAAATCTGTTGTATCGATTTTTATTTACATCCGGTCAAACATACATACAAAGAATTTAATAAGTATAGATAGTACAGTTATAGATTAAAAAACCTTATACATAGTAGTAGTCCATAGACAAACCGGGAAGACCTGTGGTATATTGTATAATTCATTTCAAAGTTCTCTCCTATCACAATACAGTGTTATCAGAATAAGTCTGCCCATTCCCACGTTATATTTGGACAAACAAATAAAAAGATTATGTACCTATTGATATCACATAATCACACAACTTCTCTAAGTCGCCATTTATATCTGTTTGTGCGATTAGTTTTGTTTAAAACACGCAATAAATTTTGATAAAATGTATTGTAAAACGTATTTGTCATACGCATTTAGAGAACTTTTAAAAGTATCACTAATAGTATATCTCCATATTAAAATATATACAGATAAATAGAATTAAAGGGTCTGTAATGCCAAAATAACAGCATTTTACTAAACGCATATGGAATTATATACGGTATTTCTAAGAAAATCACAATTTTTAAAATTTTTGTCTGTCTATTTGTTCTGGCTAATCTCCGAAACGGATGGGCCGATTTTGACGGGACTTTCACTAGCAGATAGTTGATGATATACCTAAGGAGTAACTTAGGTTACTTTTATTTTATAAAAGAATTAGGCTTCCGCTCAAAAAAATTAAAATGTACCTAGTGACGAACCTGAGTGAGGGTGAGTCGCTAGTGTATACTAATATTATAAAGAAGAAATTTTGTTTGTTTGTACCCAATAAGCTCTGAAACTACTGGACCGATTTAGAGAAAATTTGGTAAGAAGATAGTTTGAGACTCCGGGAAGAACATAGGATTATTTTTATCCCTTAAGGGGGGTGAAAATGGGGTGAAAGTTTGTGTGGGGAATCAACCCTGGGGACGAACTCGAGCAAAGCAAGGGTGAGTCGCTAGTAGTCTATAAAATGGAACACAATTTTTCAAGTAGTTCTAGAGAATAGCGTTTTCATACAAACAAAATCTTCATCTACATAATATAATATTAGCTATCTTATAATACTAGCATCTACAGTAAAGATTGCTAAGTGCAACTTATTTTCATTTTACCGTAACAAGTTATTTAACAGATTACGTCAAAGTAATAACCGCACAATATTCATACATATATTGCTGTATCGCTGCAATTACTAATGACAAAAACAAAACACAATGACTTTTAATCATCATAAATCATTTGTATTTTATTTTAATCTATACGTATAATAAAACTAGCAGGACCCGCGGCTTCGCTCGCGCTAAAACTACAAAACTTTTCAACAAAGATATAAAAACCAACTTCAAACAAATGCACTAAAAAGTAAAAAATAACTGATTGGTAGTTTTCATTTACTATACATACCTAATCAAATATTTTCGAAGTCGGTGTGCTTTGCTTTGTATCGGCTGGCACCGACTTCGAAATTATTATATGTACATATATATTATAGAGTTTTGAGGTAACAAACATAAAAAAAACAACATAAAGCCGAATTGAGAACCTCCTCCTTTTTGAGGAAGTCGGTTGAAAAAATCTTTTTTAAAGTTAGGTTTCATACAAACGTTCATCCTCTATTATACCCCCTTATATTTGAAAAATATTTAATTAAATATAAGAGCAATTAATACCAAGTTTCAAGTAATACTGATCATAAATATTTTTTTGGGTTGTATTAAAACGTGTTTTCCCGTGGGAATGAGATAATCTCCCGCAATAAAAAGTAGCCTATGTCACTCTCCCTCCATCTCCATATAAAAATCACGCCAATCCGTCACTCCGTTTCGACGAAAAAACAAACACACTTTCACATTTATAATATTAGCATGGATTCTAACCGATTGTGAGTCAATTCTATACATTAAATATTTTTTGGAAAATCTTATTGAAATAGCCATTATCATCGATAGGATATATCTGTAGTTTTTAGAACTTTTGTCTGTCTTTCTTGAAACGCATCACGAGAAAACCACTGGACAGATTTTGATAAATTTGGTGTGATGAGAGCTGGTTATACGGGTCAACATAAAGGATACTTTTTATTGCGGGAAAATACCTCATCTCTGAGAAATCTATACTAACTGTTCAAACATATATAGTGTGACAATAATAGCTCTTAGATACTATTTTAAATTCATTGTTTTATTCTTTACAACTTATGTCTTGAAAAATAAAATATGAAACGAAAACGTCATAATATGTAAGCGTCAAATTTAAAAATATATACCTATGTAATAAGTAATTTTATATTATTTATAACAAATAACAAGCATAACACGTTCTGTGGCTTTGTAAAATCATTATAATCGCGGGACTTCCCCAGTTTCGTGGAAGCCGTAAATAATCATAAACGCATGGGGTACTACAAACACATGTACACGATAAGGGTCAAACCATTTTAGATTTTCGTAGATATAGAATAGGTGCTAGTATTCTCTGTGTATAATTTTATGGGTTTTATTATACACTGATAAAAAAGTATTAAAATGCATAGTATGTGTAGGAAATGCTTTATATTCAGCAATATAATATCAAGGATTCATTAAACTTAAAAATATAGATAGAGTGGAACTAAAAGCAAAAAAATGATGTTTCGAAGACCATATTATAAGTATAAAAGAGTAGAAGCAAGAAATAATAGATAACAAATATTTTAGTATATTGTATCTAAATTGCATTGTCTACAGACTTTTTGTACATGTGGTGTGTTACATTGCCAAACCAAAAAAATATTTTGCTATTAGTATGTGAAAATGTAACACAGTTTATAAATACTCACAGAGAATACTATTAATATGTATTTATATTTAGAATTGAACTTTATTAAGAACTAGCTCAGCTAACTCACTCTCGCTTCGCTCGGATTCAAAGTGCGGACCAAGTTCACTATAAGTTGCTTTCCTATACAAACTTTTATCTCCATTTTCACCCCTTTAAGGGATGATTTCCGGGATAAAAACTATCCTATGACCTTCCCAGAGTGTTAAACTACCATTCATTATCAAATTTCATGTAAATCGGTTCAGTAGTTTTGGAGTCTACTTGGTACAAATAAACAAACAAAAAATCTTTCCTCTTTATAATATTATTATAGATTGTATGAGTATTCTTCACTTTCTCAACATTATTAATATTTATTTACCCCACAAAGGAAGTGTATTCAGAATGTTAAACAATAATACCTTAAATTTGTATAAAATTGAATTTAGGATTTCATTTATTTATTTATATTTTGTAACAACATTGTTTGTGGCTGAAACTTAAATTGTTCATGAAATATTAAATGTAAAATAAATGTTGATTACTTCCTTTATAAAATAATTAAGATGCAAAAAATAGATTAATGCCGCTAATTATACAAAGTTGAAAAACAGTGTCATCATTTTATTGTTATTAATCAATAGTTGTTTACATATTTGAAATAAACTAACTTATGAACTACTGCTTCCTCTCTGGTTTCATTGCAATAAATTTATTTTATTTTTTTAATTTTTTGCATTGAAATGTTTTCACCTCCCTTCAATACTAGAGGGATCAGGTCATAGTCCATCATGCTAGCCAAGTGCGGGTTGGCGGACTTCACATGTCTTTCGAAAACTTGCTAGGTTCGCTAAGACTGCATGTCTGTTTGCAGATTTCCTCACCATATTTTCCTTCATAGTAATTCCCACAAGAAAATATCAGAGGTGCGAGACCCAGGATTTCAACCCGCTTCACTTAGTTTCCCAAATGAGCGCGATATATATATATATATATATATATATATATATATATATATATACACATATATATATATATATATATATATATATATATATAAATATAGTATAATTATGCAAAACGAGTCCTACAATTGATATTATCAAAGTACTATCATAAGGTCAATGACACTATTGCCTTGAGAACTCTATGTATGTTTCCATCATCTGATTTATTGGTTCCATACAAACACATTTACAAGCCAATTTGATCTTATATGTGATGAAATAAAACTCATTTTAGCATACACAGCCTAATTAGCTTATAATATGTTACAAAACATGGTGTAATTTTTTTTTAATGTTAACCCAAAGTGTTTTTTTTTTAATAACTGAATAAACTAAAGAAAGTATTAACTGAATAAACTTTTAATATACTATTACTATACCTTACTAATAGTAAACAAATGTTGTATTAGTATTTGCAAGATTATAATTTAAAAACAAAACCTGAATATATATTTACATACAAGTTGTATTTATCAACCTTTGAAAAATATATTGAAGTAGGTACCTACTTAATTTGATATAAGGAAACTCTTGCATAATTTATGCATGCTGATGCCTAAAACTTTGTTTATGTCAAGGTGCATGTTTCTATATATAGGAAATGAAAAACAACAATATCATTAACATATTTGTATACATTTTCGACAATAACAAACTAAAATAAATGAAATGGTTGTTTTTTTATAAATTTGAAGAAGCATTTTAGATAATTACTATGTTTTCTTTTAGTAGTCAGTTCTGTAAATGTTGTTTCAACAGATGATCGAAAGTTATTTTGGATTTAAAAAAAAATATTATACTGGATTTTGCATTGCAAGCTAAAAAGAAACAATATAACCTTGCATTACCTAAGAATAAGTAATTATAATAGCATAATAAATTGGCAAAATATTCCATTGTAAAGAAAACAACACTGAATTGTTTAATATAAGATGTTATCGTGAAAATTTAACAAAATTTTATGCCACCATTTAATTTAAAGTAATAAATGACACATCTTAAGTTGGAAAACCTAAAATGGTATGATGTTTTTCCCATTACTCAGATAAGACATCCGTATAGATAAAAAAATAAATGAAATTAGTTTACATGACATCAGTAGTGATTCATGGTTCTTAATAAATAAATTGAAAAATACTACTTACGTATGGGATGAAGTAATTCTTCACTTGCATCTTCTGAGCGGAACTGTTTGAGAATAGCTGTGAGCCAAGCATGCAGGTCTTGCTCATTTTCAGCCACTATACACAGTTGTTCTTCCTTGGTAAACAATGCTATCACATGTTTTTGTTTTAAGTCCAACCTCCTGGTTATATTATAACAACTCTTCAATGGCAGCACACGGCGTGGTGCTGCCCCTGAACGAAATTTCTTCTCTGATTCATAATATTCAAGTCGCGCTGAACTTTCCGACGTCTCCGCGCGTAGCACGAAATACTTCTTCTTCATGGTCTTCAGTTTACGAAGGTGGCCCTGGCGCACTACCGCGCCACCTTCCGCCATAGCAGCCATGTCAGTGCCTCCGCATCAGCACTGGCACAAACACGACGGATAACCTTGAAGTTGTTTACGCACCGTGATGAAAGTCACTCGTCTCACCGTCGACGCGACTAAAAATACGTACTATCTCTTTTCAATAGTGCGTAAATAGTAAAGCGCTCGACAAATCGAACGGTGTAACTAATCCGCATTCGGCCTAGTCCTGCGGGCGCCATATGACCGCTTTTATTATACCACTACGATTCACGAACGAGATAACGGCAATAACTTCGCAGCAATGCGGTGCAAATATCAAAATACAACAACAAACGCTTTTCAATCCATAATTTGGTACGCTCGCTATTACACTCGGTCATTCACAGATACACGAGTTTAGAAAGAGATAAAATCATTCATAGTAAACGTAATCCGCACGCCCTTTCGTAGGAACGCAGGGCATGGAAGTCACGCCGTGGTCATGCCTCCGTGCGACATCAAAACAATCAATTTTACGCGCTATATTGCACTGTTACTGAACCTTGAAATTTTGGGTAATGAAAGAGTCAAATTACACAGAGTCGTTCATATCTTATGCACTTGATTTATAAAACTCCTGTATTTGCGCGTCGTTTTTATTGGTTCCTCGCTATTGCGTGTCATTTATTCGAACGACGATTACGAGAAAATAGTGTCGTATAGGTCGGATACTCTGACATAAATATTTGATAATAAAAATTAAAAACTCATGTAAGCTAATAATTAATTTAAAAATGACTGATAATTAATTCGATTCAATTTGTCATAACAAATTTATCAAATTGTCATTATTAAATTTATATAAGCAAACGTGATTTCTTTATACACGTATAAAGATTTTTTTCTGATAGTGACATAATTTCAAAAAATATATTTATATGAATATAATAAAAAGTAATGTAGCAAGTAATCTATTTTTATTAAACATATATTCTATATTAATATGCCATAGCATGTATCCGATTTTTAAATTTTAAATTTACCATTGACAACATTCACTAAATATGTCGTCTTCTTTTGTGTCCGTCATTCATTCATTCATTTACTTGCTAAAAAAGGTAGAGAACAGAAACGGGAAATGTTGGCAAATTACTACTGATAAATACGTGTAATAGTTTTATTCTCTTATTTTAGCTTACTGTTGTACAAAATTGTGCGGTTTGAGTATTTCAGATGTAGATTCGTGAAATAAGCGATCTGTTTACATTGTGAAATAAGCATTTACTTCTTTGCCGTGAAAACCATATTCGTAGCGAAAGGAGAGTTTTTGTGGCAATTTCAGTGTTTTGAATGTTCGGTGATGGTATTTATGGACCGTATCGTTGTACAGTTATCGGATATTCGCGGGTGGTCAAGAAGTTTCTGGTGAATCGCCGCATAATGTCGAATACTTTTAGTCCTGTGTAAATAGTTAAGTTGCAACAGTCTATCAACAGTTGCGGTTTAGAAGTTTTGCAACCATCATTAGAGCGTGAAAACCGTGTCAAGCTTGCACCCTATAAGATTTAAATTTAATGATAAAAACAACAAAACAAGCACTTTGTTCTTATTAGATAATAATTTCTATTATATCTAAGAGAAAGACAATGGACCACAGATCATAATTCTGAAGGTATAGTTTATTGTAAAATGATGCATTATTTTACACTTAAGAATATGTCTATAAAATAATTTTATTTCAGATATATTATGGCATCGGGCACATCTTCTTTAGAAAGCAATGGGAGTAATGGTGAGCAAAATATACATTATCGTTTTACTGACTGATTAATAACAATAATATTAGAACTACTAGAATATAAAACCAGTCTTACATATAAATATAATGCAATAAACACTATAATTTTTTTTTTATATTTTTTATATGTTCTTCAAATATATTTTTTGTATATGTTATAAATTTTTCATATAAAATATTAGAATCATCAAAACAATGGGAATTTGAAAACTTATCAATTTATATCAAAAACAAAGTTATTAATATTAATTATTAGAAAGATTTAAAAATGTCACAATTCTTAAATAATACTTCAAAATACTTTTATAGTTTTATCTGAAACTTCAAATAATAGCATGTTACAATATTTAATGTTTTATATAACAGACATGATATAATGTTATAAGCTACTATAGTCCATTAAAACGGAATTAGTATTTGAAATGCTTGACAATATAAGAGAAAAATGGAAAAGAATATCTTGCATAGCATTTACATTATAATTACTTTATATAAATGTATCTAAAATATATTTGTCCATATGTAACTTGTTTGTATATGATATGAATCTTAGTAAATTATTTAACAAACAATAAATGATTACTTCGATTAATAGTAGTATTGTTGATCGAAGAATGATTATAACTAAATTACCTAATTATTAAAAAAAATGTTTTTTTTTTTAATAATATCATCATATCATCTGCTATGGATATAATAGTGCACAAATAAGAAGATTAACATTTAGTGACATTGTTTTTATTTAGTGGCTTCTAATTTTTAGTTTCATTTAATTTCAATAATATCGTAACTAAATCATTTTTTTATATTGTAACTAATAGAGCCAAAATGTAGTGTAATCATGTTTACTTATTACTTAAATCTTCATATATTTCAGAATCAATATCCCACAGTTACGTGAGTAACGAACGTCATAATGCTGCCCAAATACCATCTTTACCCATTGACTATGATCTATCATCATCTCAGTGCTATGAGAAACCGACCTACACAAGTCATACACATGCCATGAGCGCCCCATATGAGTTGGGGAATTATGATGTGATCAATAAACAGGCCAATGAAAATTTAAAGCAGCAATGTGACAAGGCTCAGCACGAACTAAACCAGTTAAGACGACAGTACACAGAGACTTCCAGACGATGTGAACATGTTATGAAGGTATGTGATATAATAATATTCTCTTTATTAGTATTAGCTATTTGTTACGGTCATATTATGTATACTGTATGTGCTGTACTCAATTTTCCTTTTCTCCATTTAGTAGCGTTTTTTTAACACAATAATCCCATAAAACTAGGATCTATAGTAAAAAAGGTAGCATGAAGGTTTATATTAAAATTGTTTAATAGTTAATGCTAAAGAAACGTCGATGGATTTGGATTCGATTCTCGTAAAAGCCAAATGTAATCGATGTTTTTGTACATCCCTAAGTGCTTCCCTAGTGAAAGCTTTTGAGCGTGAAATAATATTTATATATATGCTATTTATCGTCTAAAGATTAGATTAACTAGATAATTATTTCATCAATCCAATCCAATCTCTACCGATTTAGAGACAATGCACTTGCAAAGTTTATGCATATGTTAAATATTTATTAAATAGTATTCATTTAATATACTTACTACTAGACCACGCTACGCGTTGCTGTGGCGCACTTATAATTTTTTTTATTTATCTTGGGAGTAGAATTTGTGGCTTAGGTTATCCATTTCTCAGGTTCTCCCTCCGGAATCACTCCGGATATGAAAATCGATAATTTTGCAATAAAACAAAGAAACAATCAGAATAAAAAATATCCTATCTTTTAAGTTGGAACGAATGACACATTTAAAAAAAATACGTTAAGAGCAGATAAGTTGTTTCGAAGTTTATCGCGGATCACCATCTTGACATGAGAATTTTATATATTAAGATATGTATATAGCATTATAAAACCAATTTTTCTATGTAAGTTTAAACCTTCGTTGAATGCACGGAGGCGAACACTTTTTTTCCTTCCACATTATGCAATATTATTTAACGTGCACTGTCTGTTATTATAATACAGTACCTGGGCGACCGGAGTTTTTGACCAAAAAAGCATTTAAAAAAAAAACAAACAAAAATTTGAATAAATACCAAAAAAAAAACACAAAAATACAACCGTATTATCCGACCGGGATACGAACCCAGACACTTGTGGTTGTCAAACTTGCGCTTTGGTCGTTTGACCACGATGCTTATGTCCTAGCGTGCGAATTAGCGACCATATTATGCGTGGAATAATGCGAAACAAAATCGCATGAAAACTCGAAAACACGCGTTTTTCCAGACACAAAACTAATCTAAATCGATTTATCGCCCCCGAAACCCCGTTTCCGAGATTCAGATTATATATATAAATATACAAGAATTGCTCGTTTAAATATATTAGATAGGTAATTAGTAAATGATTGTAGAAAGTCATGCCGTATTGGAGATTATTTGTTTCTTATCTGAACTTTCGTCTCTACGCGTTGGATATTATTTTATTTTTCGTAATATCCTTACAACATTGTCCTTACAATATAGCTCAAATAGTCTACGAATAAAATGGCTGTGACATAAGGACAGACGGACAGTTGGAAGACGGAAATTAAAAAGGCTCTTTCTTTTCTTTGATTTCGGCTACGAAACCGTAATGTTAAAAAAAACAATTAGTACTTCGTTGACAAGGATAACAATAAGTTATTATTGCGTGAATGTGACCTAAAAAACATGATGTAAATGGAAACTCGAACGTGGTAATCCTATTATGAGTACCGAATTTAACTGACGATTATATTGTATTAAGTTTTTTTATTGAAACGATTAGTCGAAGTGGATTAGGAATAAAATCTTTTGATCAGCTACCTATACCTAGAGCTATGGAAAATCATCCCTTTTTGGCTTTAATACATCACGCCCCGCTTCTGCTTACGTCCTGCTATTAAAAGAATATGAGTCTATTTTCTAAACATACCAGAAAATAATTTTGCAAAAATGCAGTCCATTAGTAAATGAAAGCTTCTACAGCTTAAGCTTTAAATAGAAGTCTTTGAAGTGTGTATAAAACTGCGTTGTTAAATGAGTCGTTTTACTAGCACTCCAGTGTAAACCTTTGATAAACTTTGAGAGAAATATTAATTTTCCTTCGCTCTCAGCGCTCGGGGCAAGTAATGTTACTACTTCGCGGCTATTTAAAAAAAATACGCTTCAAAATGAACTGCGAAATAGCAAACTTGACCCACTGACCTATATTTTATTCATACGTCCATTGCCTTGTAGAAATAGGCTAGTTGTTATTAGTTTTTTTTAACAAAACAATATTTCGCCATCGCGAAATGCGAAAATTATGCTCGACTTCGGTGGTAATGAGAGCCTATTTTTGGTCCGATTTTCAAACCGTTACGTAAACTGTATTTAACAATACTTATTTCATGGCTTAAAATATTTATTTTATAATATTGTAGTGTGACTTTATCGACAAAAATATTAGATACGTAGAAATAATAAGAATATTTAAAGTATACCTAATTCTTGTGGAACATGCAGAAGAAAAGTTTTCCTAGTTTCTACATTACATCACCAAGAAATAGGTTATATTTTCTAATTTATTAAAATTAAAAAAAAAACATTAGATCTGCTTTCTTTCAACACGATTGTAAACCGTTTTTTTTAGTGCATACGTCAAAGATTCTCTAAAAAATAATTGATCCCGTAATGGTGGAATAATTATAATTAAAATATTTTTAAGTAGTAATATTTATATTACTATAAATACAATATTAATATAAATATTACTACTTAAAAATATTTTAATTATAATTAACTAATACTAAAGTAATATTTTTATTTAAAGATTATAATGTTGTTGTCAGGAGTTGGAATACTTCCGTGGTCAGCATCGGGCAGCTATGAATCAGCTCGAGGTGTCCGCGCAGGAGACAAGCAGTCTTCGCGGCAAGTATGGGGACCTGTTAAACGATAATCAACGGTAAGTATTATTGATATTTGTTCTTATTTATAAAATCGAAACAAACATTAATATAGTGTTAGACTAGTATAGTGTATTTTTTTGTGTTATTTTTCGGTTTAACAGGATTTTTGGAAACAGAGTTGTTTGAATTTCATACTATAGTGACTAGCGAATCACCCTCGCTTCGCTGGGATAAGTTTATAGATGCCTTGTTTATTTTTTGTTTGTTTGAACGCTCTAATTTCAGGAACTACTAATCCGATTTGAAAAATTATTTTTGCATTAGATGGCCCGTTTATTGAGAAAGGCTATAATAGGCTATATATTATCATCATGGTCTACCCAGGGGAGCAGAGCAGTAATCATAAATGTCAACAAATCTGTGAATGTCAAAAATTGATGCTTATAATATGTTTAAGTACTTTAAGCTCAGAAGTAGTGGGTGTGTGTACTATTCATAATTATTGTTTTCTCTGTAAAATTCTAATTAAATGCCATATTATAGACTCGAGCGTGAGATCCAACACCTGCAGCAGAACAGCGGCGCGGAGGGCGCGGATGCGCTCGTGCACACGCTGAGGAAATACGACGCTCTCAAGGAAGAGTTCGAATGTTTCCAAAAGAGGTGGGTAATAATATGTTTGTTTGACTGATTTACAAAAATGAGTGTATGTATTAAATATAATTATCTTTTCGGAAATTGTCCTAATTTTATTTCAGCTTTCGAGACAGAAACCTTAGTCTTTCTCGTGATCATGTTTGCTTTAATTTGAAACATTTTTGGAGAATCGCGCGGAGAGTGAGAGGAATAGAATGCGTTTGTTCGTCTGTTCATTTACGCCTTAACTCTCGTATCGAGTTATCGTCCCACCGGAGTAAGATTAACAGAAACAGATATGTAATAAATAAATTGTACGCACACTTGTGCACTATAGTATCTCCTGTTGGAAGGATATTTATTATAATATCTCCTGCGAAGATATCATTGTATACCGTGACATGGTCACCAAAACATAAGTACGGTTTTAGATCTATTTGTAAATAAACTAAATCTTGATAACATTTTTTTAAATGAAACTTGAAATATAAATTTTAATAATTATAATAATATGCAAAATTTCAAAATTTTAATGCCTTCGAAAGTTTCGAAGCAAAACTTTCTGTATGTTTTCTATCAAAAATAAATGGTGTATGTACCTATTTGTTGTAGATATGATGATTTAATAGAGAATCACAACACAACTCTGGAGAACCTTCGAATAGTCCAAGAAGAGAACAGCAGGCTCAAAACACAGTGTCATGAACTCACTCAAGAGAGAAACTCTGTGGTAAGTCTTAAAGATTTTGATATTATTTTTTAATAATAAATTGTGTATGATGGTATTTTGTATAAACTTTTAGATTTTATGGTCCAGAAAGTGGTATTTTTTTCATATCAGAATCATAATCAATTCTGGTGAGATATTAATCTCTAAATCAAAAGTAACTTAATAAATTCAATAATAATAAAAAAAATAATGAATGTTCAACATTTTAAACTCAAGACGGTTTTGGATAAATTATTACTCAAAATCTATACCAATATCATAAATGCGAAAGTAACTCTGTTTGTCTGTCTGTTACATTTTCACGTTAAATCCGCTGAACCGATTTAGATGGGTATAGAAATAGTTCGAGACCTGAAAGGACATAGGATAGTGTTTATCCCTGGAAGTCATCCCTTAAGTGTGTCAAGATGAGTGGATTTTGGTTTTTTTAAAGTGATTAACTAATTTTCTTTACCTATGTATGTATATATATATATATATATATATATATATATATATATATATATATATATATATGTAGTCTATTCTGTACTAACCATTAAATCATACCATCGTTAATTCAGTATGTATACGTATAATATAAATATACTTAAGATTTTATCCACACACGTCAGATACGAGAGCGCAACGCGCTGAAGCAGCAGGTGGCGAGCGTGGTGCGGCAGTGGGAGGGCGGCGTGCGCGAGCGCGCCGACATCAAGCGCCTCACCGACGAGCGCAACGCCGCCATGGCCGAGTACACGCTCATCATGAGCGAGAGGTACGCCCGCTGACAGAGAGAGAGATACACTCTTGAGGAATTGTACATCAAGAATAGATTAAAGTAGTGATAAGCCCGCTTTTGCATTTTTTTTATAATGTACCATTCAATTATGATAAATGAATGATTTCTTTTCGGTAAAATAATGGTAATTTTTGAACTTTTTGATATGAAAAGTCCTCCAAGGATTTTCTTTTAATATGAATATGTCAGTTGAGATAAATAGATTTTTCTACTAGCATTATTTCTCTTTAATAAAAATTGTGTTTAGCCCTTAATGACGTTCCGAATTCCAATGCTGGGCTCAATACGAGGGGTATCAGGATATATTTAGTCCGCCACGCTGGCCAAGTGCGGGATGACGAACTTCACATGTCATTCGAAAACTTACTAAGTTCTTTCCTGATGCGAATTTCCTCTCGATGTTTTCCTTCACCGTAAAACAAATGGTAATCATGTTGGAAAATGATACGCATATGGAAGTATCAGAGGTGCGAGACAAGTGAGGTGGATTTGGACCCGCTTCACTGTTTTCCAAAAATAACAAAAAAATAAAAACCGACTCCAAACAAAAGCACTAAAAAGTAAAAAATAACTAATTGGTAGTTTTCATTTACTATACATACCTAATCAAATATTTTCGAAGTCGGTGTGCTTTGGCTAAGTAATTAAAGCCTACCTATTAAATACATACCTAATCAAATATTTTCGAAATCGGCGCCAGCCCATACAAAGCAAAGCACACCGACTTCGAAAATATTTGATTAGGTATGTATAGTAAATGAAAACTACCAATTAGTTATTTTTTACTTTTTAGTGCTTTTATTTGAAGTCGGTTTTTATTTTTTTGTTAAAAAGTTTTTATTTTTTCCTTTTTAGTGTAGACAATAGTAGCAAAGTACGAATTTAACGTGTTAGGCTCGTCAAATCAAACAAAATAAGCCCAAACTCAAAGTATCTACTATTAGCCGTTAAAGAGTTCCACCTATCCACCTTCTGGCCTTACCATCAGATCAGGTCAACAATACCGAACCACTGTACTATCACCGGAAATAGAAACATTTGCAAAGTTTCAAGTCAATATGACAATGAGAAGTAGGTTAAATTCATCATTAGCTATTTTTCCACCCTTAGGAGTGGTATTTTTAAATTTATTTAAATGGGACCAATCTGGAAGTATACACTTTCAAAAAACACAAAAATTGTCCAAATCGGTTAATAAATGACGGAGTTCTGAGGTAACAAACATAAAAAAAAAATACAGTCGAATTGAGAACCTCCTCCTTTTTGAAGTCGGCTGAAAAAGCCACGTTACCACTGAATACCATTGCCTTCAATAACTATAATCACTACGTATTATAAAACAAAGTCCTCCGCCGTGTGTGTCTGTTTGTCTATCTGTTAGCGATAAACTCAAAAACGACTGCACCGATTTTCATACTGTTTTCACCAATTGATAGAGTGGTTCTCGAGAAAGGTTTTAGTATATAATTTGTTAAGTTTTTATACACATTGACTAAAATACGGTGGTGTCGGAAAAAGGTAAGCTGTCTGGGAGCTTTCGACGAAAACGCTGCCTAAACCCTTTGAGATATAACAAAATAATGTATGGTGGAATTGTGTATCTTATATAGGTCTACAGGAAAGTCCGCAATGGCATATGTCTATCTCTTAAGGATAACATACTATATGCATTTTAGTTTAAAATTTTAGTTTAAAATGTACCAGGAAAGAACTCGCGCGAAGCGAGGGTGAGTCGCTAGTAAAGGTATAAATTAATTGAACGTGTGTAGGAGTTATAAACGAGTGTTACGAACAGGGACACGGTGCACAAGGAGATGGAGAAGCTGTCGGACGACCTGCAGGCGGCGCTGAAGCGCGTGGCGGCGCTGGAGGCGGCGCTGCAGGCGTCGCGCGAGGAGCAGCGCGCCACCGCGCTGCAGGTGTGCTGGGAGCTTGTTTTTTTTGGCGTTTGGTGCTTTTTGTATTGTTTTGGAAAGAAGTTCATTATAGCAGGTTACTCGGTACACTCTACGAATGAGAGCTAGAAGGGAAAAACGGTCAAGTGCGAGTCGGACTCGCACACGATAGGTCCCGTACCATGGTACAAGATTTAACATTATATACTAATTTTTTTTCGAGTTGCATGGCGGCTATTTTGAAATTCGCCATTTTGGTTTTTTATTATTTGTTGTTATAGCGGCCTTATAAATACACACTCTTTAAAAATTTCATCTCTACCTATTTCAGTTGGCACCCTTCGGGTATAGAACTCTAAAAAAAGTGTAATGTTTCGACCGCCACGATATTGTAGCCTAAGCTTTTTATAGATTTACCTAACATACCTAATGATTTAAATGCAATATATATGAAGACTTTTACAATCTGATGATGGACGTTATATATAAAAATATATATAACAAATGTATATGTAATTGATAAAGAGAACTTTACTAAAAATAATGTTTTTCATATCTAAAAGGCGGAAAGTCTTCGTCGCGAGATAGAGTCGGCGCTGCTGGAGCGCGACCGCGCCATCAAGGAGTGCACTGATCTCAAGACGCCACAGAACACCTCCACGCTCGGCAAGTCTAGGTAACCTTTTATTTAATAATAATTATATAATAATATGTTGGGACATTAAATTATTTAATATTATTTTTTATATTAACAATTAACACACAACACCATCTAGTTCCATGGTAAGCTACGAGGTTTGTGATATGGATACCAGATAGTTGATACACTACACGTATATAACTTTAAATACATACATATTATAAATATAAACACCCGTGAATGTCCCCAGCCGGATTTGAACCTGTGACCGCTGGCAAAGCAAGTAGGGACAAAATAAGTCGAACGTATCGTCGATGTCGTATTTATTATTTTAATAAGATTAATCTAACATGTTATCCTTTTTAAAAGGACCTATTAAAGTGTAGTACCTGAACGATCGAGCTTTGCTCGGCGTTTTTCGGAAAAGATATAAAAATTGTGTTTTTTTCATATGTAGATAAACTTAAAAGCAAAACCTTACCTAAATACAAAATTTTATCTAAATCATTAGAGCTGTTGCCAAGATATTTAATGTTATAAAGGTATTTATCTAGGATTACAAATTGTTTCTTTATAGTCATGAGTAAAAACAAAAATGTCAGTACATTAAATTTATAATAATAATAACGTTTGCATATATGTATTTTTTTTTTACACAGGCAAGATAATTCAGCATATCACCACTTGGGCCTGTCGAGCGGAGTCGGCACGGACGGGTTCCTCAACGGTCAGCATTCTAATGATCCCTCTATGGATAAATTGCAAGGTATGACTTGATGTTGTCTATTTCAAATTGATTTTGACTGAAATTTGGTAAAGAAACAAAACAAATATAGTGTTTACATATGTATATATATATATATATATATATATATATATATATATATATATATATATAGTTTTTTTTTAATTTAGTATTCTATTTCTAGAACCGATTTAACATAATTCATTTATTCCATTAAAACTTTTAGATAGTTCATTTGTTTTAATACTTAGGACCTTTATACACTACTCTTTATAAATGCGTTTTCGACGCGCGTAAAATGAATTAACGACATGGCGATAATTCCGTGTGTTTTCAGTGTTGTTATAAATGCGTTCACAACGCGGTGGGTATAAGCTCTTAGATGTTCGATATAACATTAATACATATTTAGAATATGTAAATATGTATATTGAAAAAAAAAAATTGTCGCAGAAACTTTTCACAGACAACTTATAAATTTTCTTGAACAATTTAGAAGTTTCTGTGGTAATAATTTTATACATCATCTATATTAATATTATAAAGAGGAAAGATTTTTTTCTTAGTTTGTTTGTACTGAATAAACTCCGAAACTACTGGACCGATTTAGATGAAATCAGAAGATAGTTTGAGACCCTGGAAAGGACATAGGATAGTTTTTTTCCCGGAAAATGTGGATGAAAGTTTGTATGGGGAATCGAGCTAGGGACGAACCCGAGCTTAGTAAGGGTGAGTCGCTAGTACAATATATGGTAGATTAAATATGAAAGTGGTATTAATTAAATATACAAGTGTATAACTAAAATCCTGTGGTGGTGGTGGTGTGTTGTCGCGCAGGCGCGTGCGGCGCGGCGGAGGCGGGCGCGCGCGTGGACGACGTGGAGCTGGCCAACCAGGAGATCGAGCGCCTGCGCGCGCGCGCGCAGCGCCTCGCGCACGACCTGCACGACGCGCACCGCGAGGCTGAGGTACACACACACAGACACACACACACACACACACACACACACACACACACACACACACACACACACACACACACACACACACACACACACACACATAATACATACATACAGACGCACACACGTATGTGTATACGCGCATTCGCACAAACACATAATTATGCATAATGAATATTATCTACCTTGTAATATACATAAATATATATTTTTGCTTTTAAATCAATGATATATTTTAAATTTTGTTTTAAGCTTTTTTTTACATTTTTCTCGTACTATTTTCTAGTATTTTTTTCAAATATGTTTTCTTCATCATGTAGGTTATTTATTATGCTTTTATTATTGAATCACGTATTGATCACTAAAAGTAAAATTGAGGTGAATATAATATTTTTATTATAAATATCAATTTAATCATTTACTTAGGCTTTTTTTTGAAGTCACTAAGAAATATAATTGATTTTCTAGGTCTCCAAACGTAGAAGAGACTGGGCCTTCGCTGAAAGAGACAAATTGTTGCAAGAGCGAGAAAGCGTCAAAGCGTTGTGTAACCGATTAAGAAAAGTAAGTAGTGTACAGTATACATAAATTGTAAACACTGTGTATTTGTATAAAAAAACATATGAGATTGTTTATGAATTTTTCTTTATTTTAATAATAGAAAAAGTACTTTTGTGTAATGTAGTATATTACATAATATGAATGTATATGATGTTAAGGTTGAATATCGCTTGGTGACTTTGGGTGCAATAGAAAGAACGTGTGTCTGCTTCGAACGTGTTTATTAGACTAAACATTAAAAATGATAAAAGTGCAACCAACAATGAATACTGTATATAATACTACTATAACTAATGTAAATTAAAATGCTAAGTTCTTTTACTATGAAAAAATTTAAACTATATTTTTTTTGTGTTATCATTGTTTTATAATGGAGAATTTAATTTAATAATTTTAAGGTATAAGTCACTCGGCGACCGAGTTTTCCTCGGCGTTTAAAAGATCGTTTTTTTGAAAAAGATACTTATATAGTATGTCTAAGATAAACTTAAAAAGTCTTTATCGAAATACAAAATTCGATCTAAATCGTTAAGAGCCGTTTCCGAGATATACGAAATAAATATATGTACATACAAGAATGGCACATTTATTATTTATACATCTATAAAGATAAGTAAAATTGAAGTGTCTGTTTGTGATATCTAAATCAACAGATTTTTATTAAATGCGTCTGTTATGTACGGTATTTATAAAAAAACTTAATTTTTAAAATGTTTGCCTGTCTGTTTGGTGCGGATAATCTCAGAAACGGTTGGACAGATTCCGTCGGGACTTTCTCTGGCAGATAGCTGATGTTATAAAGAGTAACATAGTCTATGTTACTTTTATTTAAAAAAAAAACATACCCAGGGACGCACTCGAGCGAAGCGATGTTAAGTCGCTAGTTATAATATAAAATACTAACCAAGTGTACACGTCAGGAACGAGACCAGATGGTGGGCGAGCTGGCGGAGGCGCGGCGCCACGGCGGCAAGAAGGACGGCAAGGAGGGCAAGGCGCCGCGCCCGCGCTCGCACGACGACGCCTGCCGCGCGCCGCACCACGCGCACCGCGGGGAGGACGTGCAGGTGCCTTGGGGAATTATATTTTACTACTTCTATATGGCTTATTGATAGTGGCGTAGTGGTGCAGTAGTGGCCGAGGTTCTGGGATCGGAGTTCGAGGTAAGATTTGGGTGAGGCGCTTTCACTGTCATACATATTGTATGACAGTTGAGAAGCGGCTTCAAGGTAAATGGATGCCATTAGATGGCATTACAGCGCTTTATCTTTAAAAGCGTTCGCCATAAAAAACACTATGAATTATTTGCATATGACCCAAATAAAAAAAAAACAATTGTCAATTGTCTACTGTACGGGTTTTAAATTTTAATATGTAATTGTACCTTACTATATTTTACCCTTATGGAGTTATAGCTAAGTATCGCCTATGTTTGATCAGGACTTCGAGTGGGAGACGATCTCGGTGGAGCTGTGCGGCGCGGGCGCGGACGGCGCGCCGGGCCTGGAGCTGCGCGGCGGCCGCGACGAGCCCGCCTACCCCAACGACTGCAGCGTCTACGTCACCGCCGTCAAGAGGGGCTCCGTCGCCGACGGGAAGATCAAGTGAGGATACGCTTTGTTCGAATATGTTGATATTTCTAAACGTCAAATGTCGTAATTTTAATGTGTGATAAATTTTATTAATTTGACTTATTTGTTAAAATTTTGTATTTACCGTTATTTATGGGTTACTAGTGACATGACGGCTACGGGTGCGTCCCTAAGACAAGCCTAAAGACAAACGTCTAAAGATTTTTTTTACGTTATGAATCTTTATAGTATACAGAACCCAGCACAGTTTCATCACAATCGGGTCAATAATTTAGGAACGCATAAAGGATAAACAGAAAAAACATTCATTTTTATTTATGGACAATAATATAATATGAAAACATTGATTAATTACATCCTACCTAAATTTTAAAATTATATTGTAAAATTGGCTTCAATAGAGCCAAAGTAAAGCAATCGTATAACCGCCAGGGTGCTGGACCGCATAGCGGAGGTGTGCGGCGTGTCGCAGTGGGCGCGCAGCTCGGCTTGCGCGGCGGCGCTGCGCGGCGCGCTCGCGCGCGGGCCCGTGCCGCTGCGCCTGCAGCGCGCCCGCGCCGCGCGCACGCTGCTGCGCATCGCCGGCGGCGGGCACAGCGGCCTCACGCTGCAGCAAGGTATTGTGCGCCGGGCTTCATAGCGGGATAATCAAAATTTATTTTAAAATATATCCGAAAATAACATTAAAAATTTAAGTAATAGTATTGAAAGATGTTTTAAAAGACAAAAAAATCGAAAGTGCATAATAATTACAAGACTTCCGCGACACCATTCAGACAAAGAGAGACAATAGCATTCCCAAGGAGGGTTGACGTCAAGCAGGCGGTCGGTCGTAAATCTTTTGCCAAATCCTTTCAGCAGTACAGAAGATGTACTGCGCCGACCCCAAGTGATTGGGAAATGGGCAGGGAGAAGAAGAAGAAGGGTTTAGTTTAGCTTGGGTGTCATGCTGCAGCAAGATGATGTGGGTTTTGTTTGTTGGGAGGATAGGGCTTAATTTAACTTATAATGTGAGTGCGTGCAAGGTAATGTGTGCTTTGTTTGTTGTATCATGTAAGGTTTAGTTTGGGGCGCGTCATCATGAAAGTGACCTTGTAATGTGTGTTACGCTGCTGCAAAGTGATGTAGACTTTGTTTACTGAGAGATAAGCTTTACTTTAGCTTCAGACGTATAGTAATTTTTGTGGTCTCAGGGTGCTGCAACGTAATGTTAAAAACTACTGTAAAACCATATTATAGTTTACCGAAAGAAATAAACATTTCTAAACTTTTAATAGCTTTAAGTCTAGGTTATATAAATATATTCTTTGTAACTAATGTTCCCAGTTATACTGATCAACTGTCATAATTTCTTATATCTTTATATATGTTTCTCATGTAAAAGACTTGTTCATAATAAGAAATAAAGTTCTTTAAACAGAATGTACGCTTTGCTTGCTGGAAGATATGGCTGGCTATAAACAAATAACAATAAAAATTGTTAAACCTTTGGTCCTTCTCTATTTTAAATATGTACCTACTTATATAAATTTTATAAATTATTTTGTATTTTGCTTTGCAGGTATTTTCATAAGTAAAATAGCTTGTGGTAGCGCCGCCGCGAAGGAGGGGAATGTGTACGTCGGCGACAGAGTTGTTAGCGTGAGTTTTTGAATGTTTTGTTGTATGTTATTAATTTTAAGTAAATAAGAGAAAGACTGTTCTGTTTCTAACCGACTTTCAAAAAGGAGGAGGTTCTCAATTCGTCGGAATATGTATGTTCACCGATTACTCGAAGACGCCTGAACCGATTTGGAAATATATTTTTTTTGTTTCGCTTCCCAGGTAATTTTCTAAATCAATAATAAATTATTTTTTTAAATAAATTTGCTTAATCGAATAAAGTAAAAGAAATTCATCTTACAAATTACCTGCTTATTACGTCTACACTAAAAAAAAACTTTTTAAAAAACCGACTTCCGGACACAATAAATGTAAAAAATAACTAAATGGGGGTTTGGTGGTTGTTGCGTAACGATGAATCACAAATAAAAGAATATGTTACATCACTGATGAAATTGTAATAATAAAGTCAACTCACACGTAAAAACAGTACAGAAGGAACGTTTAGGGAAATACACTATGACACAAAGAGTTACAATACAAACATATAAAGTCCACATACAATATCTCACGAAAACGATTAAATTATATAAAACAAGTAAGTCGCATCAAAGGCAAAGCATCGACTGCTTGTTAGTAAAAATGTTATTAGTGGTCGGTAGAAGCAAAACAAATTCCGATCCACTATATACTACCGGTTTCGCGCGGCTATGCCTGTCGATTTAATATAATATGAATAATTGATAATAAATAAATATAATTAATTATATAAACGTGTTGTATGTGTGTATGTAGGTGAGTAGATAATATAAATACGTAAATTAAATATTTAATAAAATATAAATATTAAGAAATGAACAGTTTAATATATAAATATGATAAATTAAATAAATTATAGTATAAGTCACCTACAGGGGGTTTTCATTTAGAATAGATACCTAATCAGATATTTTCGAAGTCGAGAGTTACCACTGTCACGATTACTAGGTTGCTTTTAGTTAAAACATAATCTAAAATACAAACCGTGACCCACAGATAAACAACTGCTCGCTGGAAGGCATAAAGAGCGTGTCGGAGGCGACGGCGCTGCTCAACGACTGCCACTACGACTGCGTGCTGCTCACCGTGCTGCGCCCGCTCTACCCGTGCTGCGACCCGAGGAACAGGCGAGTCGGGTATAGGGGTTATTGTGTAGATCATAATCTATACTAATATCATAAATGTGCAAGTTTGTGAGTATGTATGGATGTTTGTTTCACGTCAGAACGGCTGGACGGATCTGAATGAAATTGGCACAGGGATAGATTATATATAAGGATAGATTTGTTTTTGTTTTTCTAATGATGGCTCATATGAATTGATTTTCTTATATTTTTTTATTGTGGAGTTTTAAATTGTTAAGATTATTGTATATTTTTGTGTGTAGACATTCTGTTTGTTTTTTCGTCTCGTCGGGAATAAGAATGAAAATAAAACAGTGAAAAACTGGTAAATAGTAAATTTTATATTTAGCATATAGTTGAAAAAATTGTCATTATACCGATAGTTTTAAAATATTTTGTGGTATCTAAATTAAATTATCTAGGGAATTTATATTATTGGATATGTCAAAAATCCAAAAACCTATATAAAGTATGTAACAAATTGTATCGTAAACTATATAAATAACAATACTTAGCCATTGGATGCTGAGCATAATCTTGATTTCACAATACCACGTCCTTTTCTCAGAATTAGAATGCAAAAATAATCATTCATCTCGCACGAGCGAAATGCACAACATGTCCCATCGGTTTCCGATATAAGTATAAACAAACATATAAACAAACATACAATTGCAGGCTCTCGCTGTACGAGCAGTCGTACAGCGACAACAAGATGGTGAACATCTGCTCCCAGACCGAAGACAGCAGCTGGGGCGCGTTCGTGCCGCCGCCCCCCGAGCCTAAGGTGACTTGTTATTGCATGTTTATTGTAATTTTATCTTTTAAATTATTTATTTGGGTTAAGCCCTTTTAACGTCCCACTGCTGTTAGTGGGCATCTCCATTAAATATGAGTGAGATAAGATCATAGTCCACTAGGCTGGCCAAGTGCGTGTTGGCGGACTGAGCATGCATTTCGAAAACTTTGCTAGATCAGATTTGAAGTTTTTCTTACGCTGTTTTCCTTCACCGTTAGGCAAGTGACCATGTTGCAAATGAATCGCACATGAAAATATCAGAGTTGAGCCCGCTTCCTCAAAGGTTTTTCAAAAACTATTTAATGCACATATTCGAGTCGGTTAGAATTTTATTATATATATAGATAACAGTTATTAGAGTTATGATATATGCATACATCGTATATTTTAAAATGTTTTCATATTTTATAGGTGCATGTAGAGCATGGGGTGGCGGATTTCGACAGGCGCTACGTGTACCACGTGGCGGCCGGCAGCCAGGGCAAGATACACCAGGAGAGAGGTACGCTATCTCACCTTACTTACGTCACAGTATACTAACCATCGATCAAAAGAATACTAGATACACAATCTCATGCAAAAGTTTTCTTAAAATTGATAACAAGTAATTATTCTAGTTGAAATAAATATACAACAACCATCAAATGTTCGCGCTCGTTCCGTGAGGACATTTTTTGTCGCTGATAGTGCATTTAGTACTTTTTTGATCGACGATACTAACCCATACAGTCGTCTAACGAAGGTGTCTAGACCAGGGCTGACGTGTGGAAAGACGCGGGTAAGCCTGACTGACTGACACCCGACTGGCATACATACTTTTATATGACAGTCGGAAACCGGCTTTAGGGTTGATGGGTACAATAAGGAATATGCGTGTTTTTTTTATTTTTATACAATAGCTAACATCATTATATACATAATTGTAAAAAAAAAATATTTAGCTTCATAAAACTAAAATTTAGTATCTTTTTTTTAAATATACCGTTACGGATTCTCCGATAAACGCCCGCCATTTCGCACGCTTGGCGTGACGTCACAGTATGATATATACAGAAAAATGATGACTCAATTGGTAGCGACAAAATTGCTAGTCGCTCTGTTATGATAATACTTTGACGTCATATTCGGTCTGACCAATGGTGTTGCATTTCAATTACTTTGAATTTCCCACCTATATTTGCACTTTTTAATAATTATTTTCTTAATTAAAAAGAAATCACATAAAAAATATTGATATAGATTTAATTCAAATGTAATAAAGAATTTAAAAAGAAATATATGTATATTTCACCTTTATTTAAATCACACGCATATTCCCTATTGTTACTTGTTACAAATAGTTCGCCATAAATGTTGATATTTTTGATGATAACCTTTGATTTAAGATTATAGACGATCGCCTAGTGTATGAATTTTTGTGCTGTGCTTTAATATTATATTAGTGACTTAGTGAGTGAGTGAATGTGTTTGAATGGTTTAACGGATTCGAGTGAAATTCGGTGACGGTTTATATTTTGGATTAACACTTAGGCTACTTTTTATCGATGTGCCACGCGAGCGGAGCCGTAGTTAAATTTGTATATATGTGCTCTTAAATTTATATAGTTTATGTATATTTATATAATTTTATGTCCCACAATAAGATATAGTACAAATGTACATATATGTATATGGATGTATAAGTTTTTTAAATTAATTTCCATAATATAATTAATTACGAATTATTTGAATATCTGGTCTATATTATTTATTTAAATTAGTTTATTTTATTCATCATCTTTATTTTTTTCTTTATATAATTAACAAAATTGTTTTTCTATCAATAAATGATTTTCATTACATTTTGCGCTATCGTTTGATTAAAGTAAAAAAAAAGGATATTTTTATAAAATAAAAAAGTAAAACAAGAATTCCGATACCGGGAATCGAACCCGAGCCTCCTGGGTGAGAGCCAGGTATCCTAGCCACTAGACCATATCGGATGTTGTAAACGATGTTGAAATTAATGTTTGTATAGTCAGAATATTTGGGCTTACCTTATTTTATAATTTTAGTTTAGTTATGTATTTCATTTAAACGACTCAATAAAAGGAATTGTATGCAACTCGAGCGTTATCTTCGCCAATTGTGTAATGGATTACTTCAAGGAAAGTCTCTTATTAACGAGACAAAATCCCAACTCTAAAGATGTACATATAATATAAATAACAGCCTTCGTCAATAAACGAGCTATCTATTGCAAAAAGAAATTTTGAAATCGGATTAGTAGTTCTTGAGATTAGCGCGTTCAAATAAACAAACAAATAAACAACAAACAAACTCTGCCTTTATATAATATTAGAATAGATTATTACGTTACTACACAAATAAGAAATATAAAAAAAATAATGTTTTTTATAGAATATGTAAATCTCGCGACAAGTTTTTTTATCTTATAAATTGTGTAATGTAATAAATTGATGGGTTTGACATAATACTTTCTTAGATTTACGCGAATATTTGACATTTTAAATAAAACTATCTTTTCGGATTTTGTCGCGGATTTATTTGTACTTTTGTTTCCCGACGTTTCGAATGCTTTACAGCATCCATGGTCACGGGAGAGACTGAGGTGTTACATGTCTTAAAGATATAGTTGTTACAGACAGCCTACCCACAATTAACAAAATGATTTAAAATTGATGATGAATTATTTAAAATTGATGGGTTTGATTTAATTCAAAATTTATTTTCTTCTTTTAGAGCATTTGAATAGAAGCTTGTTTTTAAATAATTCTTTTTTTTACTCTAGATAAGGCAAATATCTATTTCAAAGTTGAAATAATATTTTCTACTTAGTTATAAAATTCAAACCCATTCGCGCGTCAAACTGTAAATATCGAGATTTCTCTATGTTGTAATATATTTTACTTAAACTGATTTTTATATATTATAATTTATAACGTTTAAATTGCAAATTATTATTTTTTTATTTTTAATCATAATTTTTTTAAAGAAATATGCAGTAGATTTATTTACAAAAAAATATTTAATTAACGTTGTAAGTTTTTGTAACCTATAAACCAAATATAGTAATAAATATTTTTTGTACATTTAAGTTGACATTATCTATGAAACGATAAAGGTTGATCTTTAATATGAAAATATGTTTTATTTTCTTAAGAAAGACGTCTTGCTGTAGCATTTGACAAATAAAAATACTTAAACTATATCATTACCGACATTGATTATAATCTAACATACAAAATCTCGTGTCATGGTGTTTGTGGTCATACTCTTCCGAAACGGCTTGACCAATTTTATTGTTTTTTTTATATATTTTGTAGGTATGAGAATAGGTCTAATAGAATTTTTCACCCTCCTACCCCTACTCGCCATTTTTTAATCGCGATTTTAATATTTTTGTATGAACAATATTGTATAAATACATAAAGCCAAAGTTTTTTTTGTATATTGAACGCCGCGGGTTCTGCTAGTAAAACATAAAAATCTAACTCACTTAATATTACTAATTCAAAATACAACAACTGTTGGAAAAACTTATAGTAAACAGTGTGTAACGTCTAGGTACTTAACTTGTAATAAGGGATTGTACCATTTGGCAAAACACTTGATATATCTATATCGCGATTATAGTACCTATGTGATAAGATTGTATTTATTCATCGTATTTTTGCTTAGGACGAGAGTCCACTAGTGTAAAATTAAACATTTACCTTATGTATTCCATTATATTTCTCCGTCTTATACTTAATATTATAAAGAGGTAAAGTTTGTGAGTTTGTTGGAAGTAATCTCTGGAATTACTGAGTCGATTTAGATGAAATTTGGTAAGAATATAGTTTGAGTCCCTGGAAAGGATATAAGATGGTTTTTATCCCGGAAATGATCCCTTAAGGGAGTGAAAATGGGGATGAAAATTTGTATGGGGAATCAACCCGTGCAAAGCGGGGGTGAGTCGCTAGTTCCATATAAAGAAATAAAAAGATTATTTACTATTCCTTATGTGAATATTTGAAAACATTTAGGTTTTAGAAGTCCTCATTTTATATATCTATCTCTATCTCTATCTCTTATCATTACTAAACTGAGGCAAAAAACGTTAAGTCTTAAATAGCTAAGTTAGGTCTTAAATATCCATTGCGCTAATATTCGAAATCTAAATAACATTATTTTCGCCTATATAACGTAACATCCATATAATATATAAAAAAGCAAAAGCCAGTGTATCCCAAACTTTACACCCAGTGCAAACGATCACAAGTATCGCGTCGCGTGTTGCAGGCACTTGGGACATGATCCGGGGGAAGATCGAAGCTGTGACCGGCGGCGGCAAGGGCAAGGACAAGCAGAGCAAGGTGGGTTTGTGGTGTGCTGCTAGTGACTTGATAGTATACACTGTAAAGAGACCGACTTCAAAATGGCGATATTTGAGTGTGTTTTGTTTATTATTCGCGAAATTTGCAAATTTTTTGCCTATTTCAATTTTTTTTTATTTAATACAGTATAATTTAATTAAATAGTTACGTTTAAAGTGATAATAGGTTTTTCAAGTTAATATTACAATATTGTATTTTTTTTTCGTTACTCTAAAAACTAGACTTTAACGTATAAAGATAGTAATTACAAAATATTTTGTCTATTTTATATCTCTGGTAGGGTGTTTTTAATATTAATATTTTTATGTCATATTTCATAGTAAACTATATAGAAAAAGAGCATATTATATGCTCTTAGTCTTTGTTTATTAGATTAATACTTTGTAATATATTTCTAATAAATATTTATAATATATTTCTGTAGGCACTAAACTAGTGGTTGGAAGATTCTATATGTGATATGTTTTCAGGTACCAGAGTCGGATGCTATCGCTGAGTTAGATTCTGTTATCGACAGCTATCATGGAAAGACGAGTAAGTAAACACGTTTGTCATTATTGCTCAGATAAAAAGAATATAATAATAAAGGAATATTGTTAAATAATATAGTTTTTATTTTCATTTGTTCAATATATTCTTCCTATTGACATGATATAATTTTTTTACAGTCAAAGAAACGAGCAGTGTTTTAAAGCGATCGCGAAGAAAAAATAAAGAAGCTCAGAATGACGCAAAAAATGGAGGGACTTGGCCCAAAGCTAGAGCCAATTTCATACTAGAAGATAACGCTACTGGGACCATCGTGCAGCCTCGCTCGAGAAAAGAGAGGCCCCCTTTATCTATATTACTCAGTCCGCCAACAAAACTGCCGCCCGAGCCACAAAGGTCGAACACAAATAGAAACTCGAACCCCATACCATTAGGGCATGTGCCCTTGACCCAAGTGACCACCCCGGCGCGACACTCCGTCTACAAATCCATAGAGTCAAGTCCTGCTATTGAACATTTTCCAAAACCCGCCCCTTTAACGATACACAAACCTTTTGCTCCTAACAGTGTGCCATTTGAACAGAATCGCTCGATGGAAAAAGAGAAACTTTCTATAAGTGATTATGAACAAGATGTAACACCGAATAGATTAAGCTTAGTTCTAAACCCTTCAGAGGATTCGCTTTTTTATCAACCGGCTATGCGGAATCGTACAAAGAGTCCCCACTCTTTAGACTTTATGGTCAATAAAGGCCCCAACTCTCTCGATTTCGTTTCGAGAAAATCCCCCAGTTCACTCGATCATTCGATTAAAAATCACACAGGGAAAGACATTCTCGATCAGTTTTATTCGTCAAAGAAGGCGTCGTCGCCTAAAACAGTGAATAAATATCCATCTGACAGTGATAGTTTCGGTCCAGACAGCTTGAATAGTAATGCAAACTTTCCAATGACGGGAACTTTGCCATCGCAATCACGACTTCAATCCCAATACTACAGAGGGCCGTTCACGAACTCGAACCCACATACCTCGAGTCGCTATAACCATTTATCAAGCCCAACAAACATACCACAGAGCCAATCGGGAGAGAGTATCGGAACAAGCTACGACATGCACTCTTTTACGTCGCACACACACAACATGTCTGACTTACAACCCGTCCCACGAGTAAATCGAGAATACCATCACACATACGAAGGTGGCACATTTCCAAGAAAAAAAGAAAACCAAAGGTTCCGAATACCTTCTAATCCGAGTGTGACATCAAAAAATTCCGCGGGAAAACTTAGCACAGGTTCAATAGAGCGGAGTTCAGAAAGAAACTCGCCAATGCCGACATTTCACGTAGAAGTGTTAAGCCCTGGACGAGGAGCGAAGCAACTGACTCACAAAACTAGAAACTCAATGCCTGAATACTGTGGGTTAGGGTGGAACAAACCTTTGCCAGGGGAATTAAGGCGAGTTCACATTGACAAAAGTCAACAGCCTCTAGGTATTCAAATATACTGCCCACCCAGTAGTGGAGGAGTTTTTGTGTCGACTGTCAACGAAAACTCTTTGGCCAGCCAAGTCGGCTTACAAATTGGCGATCAGTTGCTAGAAGTGTGTGGAATCAATATGCGCTCAGCGACCTATACACTCGCTGCAAGTGTTTTACGCCAAATCGGCAATTCAATAACCATGCTAGTGCAATACAGTCCTGAAAAATATAAGGATGAAATGGAAGTGCCAGGCAGTTCGTCTTCTGGAGACAGTTCTCATGATGAAGAGGTTTCCTTATCAGGGTCTCCAACTCCTCGGAATTCTCCCGGTCCCCAACAGTCTTTACGAATGGACGTGCCGTCGACAGAAGCGGCGACGTTGAGACTATCGCAAGGGAAGGATTTGCCTAGGTTTTTGTTAATCGAAATGAGGAATTGTTCAGATTTGGGGATAAGTTTGGTGGGTGGTAATGCGGTTGGCATTTTCGTGCATAGTGTTCAAATTGATTCTCCTGCGTATATAGCGGGTTTGAGGACGGGAGATCAGATTTTAGAGTACAATAATGTAGATTTAAGACGAGCCACCGCGGAACAGGCTGCTTTGGAGTTGGCGAAACCTGCTGATAAAGTAAGTTAAATTTTAAATTATTTTGCCTAAAACAATTTCTATTGAGATTTTCTAACATTTTTCAAAAATATTTCTTATATATATCTTGTAAAATATTTTAATTTCAAAAATAAAAAAATAACATTCGACTGATATAATCGAACCCGCAATAACGTTATTTGAATTTTACAGGTGAGCGTACTAGTCCGACACGATCTCCAACAATACCACGAAATCAAAGACAAACCAGGCGATGCCTTTTACATTCGAGCGGGTTTCGACCGTTGTGCCAAAATCGCCTCAATAGGCATGGACACCATAGACGAGTTTTCTCTATGGTTTAGAAAAGATGAAGTGCTGTTTGTGGATAACACATTGTTTAATGGTGCCCCGGGGCTGTGGCGCGCCTGGCAGCTAGACTGTAAGGGGGTTAAACGACATTGGGGCACTATACCCAGTAAATTTAAGTGAGTATTTTTATTATGTTGTTTTTAGTCTACATTTAAAAAAAGAAGAATTTTTGAATAAAGAACAAATTTATTTAATTATATTGTTGATTTAATGATGAACTTGCTTGAAATAGTTTTATAATATTTAATTGGAAAAATCAGTTTGCATGTATCGGAGACATATTTTATTTATACATTCGATAGTGTTTTTAATTTCAATATTACAAATTTAAAAAAGATAAAAAATATTTTATATTCACATTTAAATGAAAAGTCAGTGTTGTTAGTTCATCAGAAAGCTACAACTGGCTCGGAAGGCAATTCTATTGAAGTACACAGGCGAGATACTCGACAGTTGCACTTCTAAAAAATAATACGTGATTATTTCGTTCCAATATAATATGTTAATAAATTTCGCTATAGCAAAAAAAAAAAACATTAAAAAACCATCTTCTTACTAGGGTGGAAGAAATTCTCCGTCGTTCAATGGGTACGCTGGACAACGATGCGCAGCGGCGAGCCTCCAGTACTGCGAGGAGATCGTTCTTCCGACGTAAGAAGCACAGGGACAGCAAGGAGCTGGCGTCCTTCTCTAACACCGAGTTGGGGTGCTGGAGCGACTCCGGGACCCTCGCTGATGATATACCGCCTCTGAGTTACCAGCGAGTGGAGAAACTGCATTGTGAGTCACCTTTAAAGTTATATAGTTAGTTTTGCCCGTGACTCCGCTTGTTTTATTATAGAAGTTGGAATATATAAAGCCTATGTCGTGGGCAGTATTTATCCGTACATAAAATATAAAGTAACATAGTTATGTATAATGTTAATTTCTTATAAAAGTAGTATATGTTAATCTAAATTCTAAGCTATCGCCATTCGGAATTTCACTTAATTCTGTCGAGCCATTAGAACAAACACTCGGCACTGACTTCCATATTTTATGTTGAGTTATAATAATTTTTGCATACGGACCCGTTTGCGTTATAGATATACTTGTACCCATTATAGATATTCTGTACAGAGTAGCTTACTTGTTAATCCAAAATATAAAGAATTTTCGTTCTGAATCTCACTTTAATTCAGTTAGCCGACACACTATAGTATGATGGTTTTTCGAAAGTTTTGAATTTATAATATTGGCACAGTCTAGTGATTTATGCGGTCGTTTAACGAAGGCGACGAGACAGGGCTAGAATACTTAGTGTAGGATGTGCGATGCGATGTTAATTTTTATTATATTATTAGTCTGACAACGTTTTGTAGTTCAGTACTCTGTCGTTGTTTTTGATCCTTTGCACTCGGCTTATTCATCTGTATAACTGTGGTGTGTGTGCGTGTGCAGACGGCAGCCGGCGGCCGGTGGCGGTGCTGGGCCCGCTGCGCGAGTGCGTGGCTGGCAAGCTGGTGTCGGACTGGCCGCACGTGTTCGCGCGCGCGCGCCCCGATCCGCGCGCGCTGCGCGACCGCGCCGACCAGGTGCGTGCGCGTGTTTTAAATTAATAGGATGTGACGTAATTGTGGTCTTATATTTTGCATATACACGTATATATAGTTTAATGTTCATGCTATTTATAGATATAATTTGATTTTTAAATGCCTATGTACCAGGAAGTCTCATATTTATTAATTATGGGTTAAGAAGTTTATTATTTTAAACAAATTTTTAAAAGGTTTTTTTCTGAAGTCGGTATTGTAATTTTAACCGAGTAATTAAATTATTTAAAATTTATTCTAATAAAAATAATAATTGTATTACGAGATAAAATATATTTAGTAACAATTCTCTTTTCAAATTATAATAATTTTATTAAAACGAATCTAACCGTTTTTTCAATACCAATTCAAACTAACAGAACAAAATTGCTTAACAGGGTATCCACTGCATAATCGACGTGAGCGTGCCGACGATAGAGAAATTACACAAACATCAGATATACCCGATAGTTCTATTCATTAAGTTTAAGTCGTTCAAACAAATAAAAGAAGTGAAAGACACGAGGTATCCAGCGGACAAAGTGTCGGCGAAGGCGGCCAAAGAAATGTACGAGCACGGGCTGAAAGTGGAAAATGAATATAGGAATTTTATATCTGGTTAGTTATTTGTGTAAACGAAAACCAATGTTGTAAACGAAATAAAAACTTATTTCGTTTACAATGTTTTGTTTATGAAATAAGTGTTGTTTTTTTTTAATACATATTTTCTTAATTCATAATAATAATAATGTATAAGACGTACAATTTTGCTTTTTACTCTTCTTTTGGATGATTGGGAATATAATCTTTCATATTATTGAATATATATATGTAATTTTTAATGATTTCTAGATCTTGATATGAAAATGTTTCCTTTTCAGCTGAAATACCAGCAGGCGTAAATATCGCTTACATGTGCACACAAATCAAGGAGGCCGTGGAAGAGGAGCAGAACAAAACACTGTGGGTGCCCTCTGCGCAAGCCTGACCTTTGCCCCCCACTCCCCCCTCCAATCCTCCCTCCAACCCTCCCTCGACTACCCCCTCAACAAGCACTCCCTCAAAACAAAAATCAGTTACTTTCTGCTCCCACTGCAAATATGATAAGCCACCCATATCCGATATCGATATTAGATATTACTCGGACCCCGGGCAGCCGGACTCGCCAAAACTTAAAACTAAGAAAAAACCCAAAATCGACTTTACTAACAGTGACATCAGGTACTATTCTGAACCAGACGTAAAATATTTCGAAATCGACTACGAATTTCTAAAGGAATTGCGCAAAATCGCCAAAAATAACTGTCCCAAGTGCAAACGAAAACGGTCGCGTAAAAGTGACAAAAGTCATAGATATAAAGACAAAAGCACTCTAAAACCACCCAGAAGTGTTAGGGTAAACGAAAATTATGTTCTCTGCAACGGAAAATACCATAGAGATGTAGAGCATTGTCGATTTTGTTGCAAAATCTGTAATCGATCCACTGATACTCTCGATTCTATCGAAGACGAATATTCACTCGCCTCTAAAAGCTACAGCCTCTCAAGTAAAACTATTAGCTCGCGATCGAAATCGAATAATCGGAATCGCGAACGGAAAAACTCGTTGCAATCGAACAAATCGGTATCGTTTTTAGAATCGAGTAACGATGAATCGTTAAAAGACGAGCCGAATTACACCGCGAGTAGCTTTACTAATGATTTGAAGAAGTTTTTGCTAAAACCTTCGTCTCCGAGGTTGAGTTTACGCGAAAAGTTTATTATAAGTTTTAAACAAGAGCTAGAAGCAACAAAAAAATCACCCAAACTCAAAGCGATCAAAGGCCTGTGGAAATCGTATTAAGATATTGATTTTTTTGAATTTCAATATGAAATTTACTTATACTTTTATATAATGCAAGTAATTATAATCAGTTAAGTTTTATCAGTAATACTGTGAATTTCAATTCAATGCTAATGATTTTTCAAAATGTTTAATTTTGTGAACAACGTTTATAATATATTTATATACTTAATAAGTATAAAAAAATATGGTTTATGTATTTATAAAAAAAGATAGTTTCATATTGAGATTCTTTTGAATAAAGAACTCTGAACGTCTCACAGAGTAAACATATGTAAACATCGATGTGAAGTTATTGATAATTATCGATAACGTCACATCGAATTGTACATATCGATTTTTGGATATCGCAAAGACTTAAAAAACTACAAGTCTGTATCTAGTAAAGTACGTTTTTCTTATATTTTCTATATTAATTTACATTTTCTTATAGGATTTTTTTCAATACACTATTAGAATCGACTTGAGTCTTCTTTAGTACATTTACTATTATAAAGGAGCCTTAGCTTGGTTCTTAACTAATATTTCCTTACTTGGTGCTTGTTTTAGAGTTATCTAATAGGTTTTAACCGTGTTTTCAACGTAAGTGTTCAGAATTGGTCTAAACTTTGTAAGAGCGATGTAGGTGCTAAAGTGGCTAAACATAACGTAGAAGTTTCTAACTTAGATTCAATGTATCTCTATACAATACTAGTAATTTTATAGTTCTCTTGATGTTTTATGGCGAAGTGCTATATATTTGATATCCAGTGGAGGTTGATGATTATGATTGTAATCAGTTTTTGAAAAATCGATTATATATATATTTATATATATATGTATATATATATATGTATATATATATATGTATATATATATATGTATATATATATATGTATATATATATATAATCGATGTAACATTAAACGTCATTAAACAGTGTTACCAGTGATGAAAAGTTTTTAAATAAAAGTGAACAATTCTATTATTTATAATTTTATTAGTGAAAATGCAGTTACGAATAAACTATCGTTTACAATCGAGCCTCTGCTTATATCATAAATTTTCATAAAAAGATACATTTTTATAGTCGAAGTTAATTTTTGTTGTTTTTACCGTTTTGACATTTATTAATATAGCTGATTTTTAATGACATTCAGAAATAACCAATTTTTTTATGTTTAAAGTGAAAATAAAGGTGCCAATAGACAATTTTATAAACTTTATTACGATTTATCATCAATATTTAGAGAATGTAAACAACATATGGAATACTTCAGTGTCTTAGATTAGACTAGCAGTTCAGAATACTAGACCTTATCGCCCGAAGCGTAGAGTACATTTTTCAACGTAGCCTAGCTTAGCGAGTAGGGATCAATAGAACCTAGTAGTTGTTACGTTTATTAGATATTTATAATGTCGTCTTAATTTATGGCGCTATAAATATTACATGTGATGTGAACCTTTGACACTTTTGTCAATTTAACGAGTTATTAGAGAACTTGTCTATACAAATGTTAATATATGAGTTTTTCAGTACCCTGAATAGTAATATCTAAACATCAAAGTTTATAGACAATTTTAATAGAAAGTTATATTCGTAAAATATCGATTTTTATCAATTAATCGATTCGTTTTAAATAATTCTATACGGAAAGTATCACCGATATAAGTTATTGAAATAATAAATGATCTTTCCAATCATGAGTTTTCATAATATGAACACGTAAAATTTTTTTGGGATATAGTTTCAATAGATATATATCGTAACCATTTTTAATTTTTTTTAATGGCAATATATACATAGAATATACTATTTATTATGAACACTGCACTTGATTTTACATTTAAAGCACTTTGCACCTTACATGTATTAATCATTAATCATTTTTATTAAATTACTTATACTCAAATCACTATGAGATGACATTTGTGACGTAAAAGTGTTGCCAGTTATTTTTTTTAATAATATGACAAATTAGTTATTTAAATTATATTTTTTTATGATTTATAAGAAAATAATGGAAAATGTATTAATGTATTAAATTAATGTGATATCAAATTAATAGCTCTCTGAATGACAGAGTTTTATCATAAAATGTTTTTTTTTTTTAAAGATTTGCTTGATGAAATTCATAAATGTCGTCTTATTGCGTTGATTCGCTTAGATTTTTGTCCATATTCCTATATATATCTTAATATAATTAATGAATTCGGAAGATTTAGGGTTGTACCGTAGGACCAAGTTTTTATTAAACGAAATATTCGCCCTTTATTTATTATAGCAATAATGTGGAAGGAACTATTCGAGCATACAAACTATGCGTATCTTTTGAGTCAACTTTGCTTTGCTATGACGTTTTCTGTTTATTGTTTTGTATTAGGATTGGTTTTTTCTATCTTCATGTGAATGTTAAAAATATTATATATTTTTTTAATTTCGATCGAAGATCAGAATGTTAATTTATTTTTTTATTACGGAGTTTAAGTGTACAGTTCAAAACAGTGCTGAAATGATTCGCGATCTCATTGATATTCACATGTGATGAGGCTTTATAGATATTGGTTATATTCACCACAGTTAGCAGTTAAGTTTTTTGTACAGAGATTTGATACGAGTTTATGTAATGTTAGCAATATCGCTTCGCTGTTATGTGGGATTGTTCATTTGTTTTGTCTCTCGTGTCATCGAATCCCACGGGATATGTGATTTACGTAGTAAATGAATAACTATCAGCTTTACGCTTATTTGTTGTTTCGGTGCGGGCAACCCCACAATAACCTAAAACGGTCACAGATAAAAAATTTTTGTCTATATGTAAATAGATGAAGATACAGTGTGTAATATCAGAATCGATATTTTTTTAAATCGGAATGACTTTTTGGAATTATTTAACTGTGGTAAGTAAGGTTTTTGAAAATGGACGAATACAACCTTTAGTTTATATTCATTACAATGTAATGGTGTTTTGATGAAGTTAATTTTATATACGAGTTTTTCTAAAGACCAATAAAATTTCATCGATTCAAATTATTTTTGTAATGGCATATAAATTATGATTATTTTTTAAATTAAAATATTGAATAGATTCAGTATTTTAAATTTTAAGAATTTTTTACTCATCAATGTTATGATTACAGAAGGAATAAGTAATATATTGTGGATAAATCGAAAGATTCCTAGATTGTTTCCTAACAGAGTTTTTATTGTAAATACATTACAATTATGGTGCTACTTTATCCAAACAGAATATTCTGGATTTATTTGAAAATACAAACAAAATGGATATCTTTTGTAATTAGCCAATTTCCAAAGATTTTTTATCTGTGGCCTATATAAAATAGTTACCATATAAAAATATTAATTGAAAGGTTCGATGTTGCACAAAATCAGTTCAATAAATTTTTAAACCACAGTTAGTTTTAAGTTTATGTTAATATGATCTGATATTACAGCTAAGGAATCGATTTCCAAAATTCGCATTATAGTTATCGATTATAATTGGTGATTTTTTTTTAATTGAATTGATATTGTTTTATAAATGTTGAATTTAATCGATTTTTTGCCTTTTTTAATTTGATCAAAGATTTGACAGGAAAAAATCAGCGTTAAACGGTAGCTGTTTCTGTAAATTATATTCTATATTATATATTTAGAGAATTAAAAATGTATTTAATGACAATAACAGTATTTAAATTATGAATATACAATGTAGTTTCGATGTCTTATTTTGGAGATATATTTATCTGTTAATGTTTGGTTTTTCTGTATTTCTACGGTATTATTTTATGTAAATTCGTTTTACTCGGTAAGTGTCGTGTGAAGCGCGATGATTCATTATGTTATAAAGTTTCAACGAATTGTTTACAATTTAGAACGAAGCAATAATAAATATACGGTATGAAATGTGAGTGTTTTATTGATGTTATACCCTCTTAAAAAGCACAGTTAAAAATGATCTCTCGTAACAATCGATCAAAAAGTACTAAATACACAATCAGCGACAAAAAATGTACTCACCGAATGAGCGCTCATTTGAATATTTGAGCGCGCTTTTAATTTTATTTGTGAAAACAACTAAGCATTCCACTTAAAGTTAAATTTACATTGTTGTATATTGTAAAAAAATAATAATTTTGACTCTCACTTCCGCGACACTCAT